GACACAACTCTGTTATGATATATATACTGATCGGGGCCAGATTTCTAGAAGATAGCATTACAGCTGTTTTTGGGAGTGGTGTGCAGCAATGACAGTATCTGGTGTAAACCTGAAAGTATATACCCTGTTTGTCAGCGTAATCCTACTTACCGCTCTTATGTATGGACGCTACCACCCGTAGCGGAGATCAAGTGATACCCCACCACACTTTCTTGACTAATTAGGGTTCTCCAGTGTATACCCAACCCCTAACCATAGAAAATACATTCTAAGTCTACGTTCATGTTCAATGACCGTGAGTGGTGTTATTGAGACTTCTCATGTAGGCGGTCATGTCCAACTCGTTATGTCAGGAGTTAATAGTTCATAGAAACCGCAATACTCGTGCTTGATATATCGGTGAGAAAATGGGGATGGGATTGGCGTCGGAGGGGGAGTGGGGGGAGGAGAAGGGGGTAGAACATGGTATATACTAATGATTGTAGACACTACATTTTCTGCTCCAAAATTGATAGATCGGGGCATATTTTTTGTGTTGTCCGTTTGTTTGTCTGTTGTTAACTTCAACCTTGCCCATAACTATTGCATCTTAATAAGTATGGCTTTCATATTTGGCACGTGTGTTCCTGGTATAATATGACAGATCAGTTTATTTCAATGATGTCCTAATCATGTGTAAAATATATTTTGTAATGTATGATGAAAATCCATGGTTGTCAAATAAATTTTAAGGGCATCGGTTAACAACATATTATTGGCGTGCTTTATTGAACTACCACCTATATCTACTGTATCTTGTTCTGAATTTGTATTGATTGGCGCTAACACTTTTGTACAATAGTTTGATTGGCGCTAACACTTTTGTACAATAGTTTGATTGTACAATAGTTTGATTGGCGCTAACACTTTTGTACAATAGTTTGATTGGCGCTAACACTTTTGTACAATAGTTTGATTGGCGCTAACACTTTTATACAATAGTTTGATTGGCGCTAACACTTTTATACAATAGTTTGATTGGCGCTAACACTTTTGTACAATAGTTTGATTGGCGCTAACACTTTTGTACAATAGTTTGATTGGCGCTAACACTTTTATACAATAGTTTGATTGGCGCTAACACTTTTGTACAATAGTTTGATTGGCGCTAACACTTTTATACAATAGTTTGATTGGCGCTAACACTTTTGTACAATAGTTTGATTGGCGCTAACACTTTTATACAATAGTTTGATTGGCGCTAACACTTTTGTACAATAGTTTGATTGGCGCTAACACTTTTATACAATAGTTTGATTGGCGCTAACACTTTTGTACAATAGTTTGATTGGCGCTAACACTTTTATACAATAGTTTGATTGGCGCTAACACTTTTGTACAATAGTTTGATTGGCGCTAACACTTTTGTACAATAGTTTGATTGGCTGTACACATGTGTTAAGACTGGACGCAATATCTTTCAGTAAATTACTTTTGGGAACATTTGGGTACATTTTGAAAACTGGCGTATTTTCTGTTTCACTCCATACTCGCTACTATGAATGGCACGAATATGATAGACATCTAAATTATTTACTGCATGATTACCCCCTCCCCCATAAAGTCATCCTCTCACAGCAAAATGTATATATTCATATCTAGTTTAGCACAAAGAAATATGAGACAACATAGTGCCCTACATATGGATGATCATAAAGATCATGGGGTAGTCTTTATTGCAATGTGAATAAAAAAAATCTGGTCATTGTAACCCAATGCCCACAAGCGGCCACTGACCTTTTGATGGCCATTTTCATGCCCGGTTAAAGATCTACATTTTCATCTTAAAAACAGGTGAGAACGTTGAACCTAAAACGCAATATGATATTTTCGCCGAGTTTTACAATTAAAAGCTACCTGGCAGTATTGAAAAGACATCGATATACACCTTTCATTTACGGCGTTAAACAGCTTCGTGTCCATGTCTGGTAAGACTGGTTGGTGTGTAAGACGTATCTATGTAATAGAAGAACCTGATAGGGTGTTTCCACTGCAGTGGTCGCTGTACAAATTATATATTTCTATAACACATGTGTTTAAAATATGATCTTTGCTTGGAATGTTTCCCACGGTGATAGGCAAAAGGGACATGTCCTGTTACTAGGGCGATGTTTCTATTGTTCTGTTAGAAACCTGCTATAGGGCTACTGACAAAATTTCTCCAATAAGGTCAGCAACGATTTGTAATTCGTGATATATATGATTCGTTATATCCATAATTCGTAATATCTATGATTCGTTATATTCATAATTCGTGATATCTATGATTAACTATATTCATAATTCGTGATATCTATGATTCGTTATATTCATAATTCGTGATATCTATGATTAACTATATTCATAATTCGTGATATCTATGATTCGTTATATTCATAATTCGTGATATCTATGATTAACTATATTCATAATTCGTGATATCTATGATTAACTATATTCATAATTCGTGATATCTATGATTCGTTATATTCATAATTCGTGATATCTATGATTCGTTATATTCATAATTCGTGATATCTATGATTCGTTATATTCATAATTCGTGATATCTATGATTCGTTATATTCATAATTCGTGATATCTATGATTCGTTATATTCATAATTCGTGATATCTATGATTCGTTATATTCATAGTTCTTAATATCTATTTAATGATATTCATATTTCGTAATACATGCGATTCGTCATATTTATAATTTGCGATATATATGAGTCGTGATATCAAAGATTCACGATATCCATGAGTCGTGATATCAAAGATTCATGGTATCGGTGATAAATGTTATAGTTGATATCCCGTTATCCTCCTGTGTTTTATATAGACGATTCCTTATACCTTGAGTACCCTTCGGTCTCGAACAGTGTAACTAGTTTTATCCAGATGTCGGTATAATTTATTACGTACACATTGGGAATATATCTGTTTAAACATTGTAATCACTATTCCAATGTCTGCAACACTGGAAACTAGGAAGTATTTTTTTTAGTTACCAGTCAGATCTACGTCATAGGAAATCGATACCAAGGCAAACACTGTCTTGACAGCTACAACAATAAATGAATACTTTCCCTTGAAGCAGGAAAGATACTGAGATTTGTTATCAGCGGATATATTGAGTCAAACATTGCTTTGTGTTTATAATCATGAATTGTACACCTATATGATGTGAGAATGAATAGATAAATAAATAGCTAAAAGATAAATGAATAGATAGATAAATAAATAGCTAAATGATAAATGAATAGATAGATAAATAAATAGCTAAATGACAAAAGAATAACTAGATAAATAAATAGCTAAATGATAAATGAATAGATAGATAAATAAATAGCTAAATGATAAATGAATAGATAGATAAATAAACAGTTAAATGATAAATTAATGGATAGATAAATAAATAGCTGAATGATAAATGAATAGATAGATAAATAAATAGCTAAATGATAAATGAATAGATAGATAAATAAATAGCTAAATGATAAAAGAATAACTAGATCAATAAATAGCTAAATGATAATGAATAGATAGATAAATAAATAGCTAAATGATAAATGAATAGATAGATAAATAAATAGCTAAATGATAAATGAATAGATAGATAAATAAATAGCTAAATGATAAATTAATGGATAGATAAATAAATAGCTAAATGATAAATTAATGGATAGATAAATAAATAGCTAAATGATAAATGAATAGATAGATAAATAAATGGCTAAATGATAAATGAATAGATAGATAAATAAATAGCTAAATGATAAATTAATGGATAGATAAATAAATAGCTGAATGATAAATGTATAGATAGATAAATAAATAATAAAATGATAAATTAATGGATAGATAAATAAATAGCTAAATGATAAATGAATAGATAGATAAATAAATGGCTAAATGATAATGAATAGCAGATAAATAAATAGCTAAATTATAAATGAATAGATAGATAAATAAATAGCTAAATGATAAATGAATAGATAGATAAATAGATAGCTAAATGATCAATGTATAGATAGATAAATAAATAACAAAATGATAAATTAATGGATAGATAAATAAATAGCTAAATGATAAATGAATAGATAGATAAATAAATGGCTAAATGATAATGAATAGTAGATAAATAAATAGCTAAATGATAAATGAATAGATAGATAAATAAATAGCTAAATGATAATGAATAGCAGATAAATAAATAGCTAAATGAGAAATGAATAGATAGATAAATAAATAGCTAAATGATAAATGAATAGATAGATAAATAAATAGCTAAATGATAATGAATAGCAGATAAATAAATAGCTAAATGAGAAATGAATAGATAGATAAATAAATAGCTAAATGATAAATGAATAGATAGATAAATAAATAGCTAAATGATAATGAATAGCAGATAAATAAATAGCTAAATGAGAAATGAATAGATAGATAAATAAATAGCTAAATGATAAAAGAATAGATAGATAAATAAATAATAAAATGTCTTGGAAAACAATCATGACAGAAAAACTAAAATAGCCATTGCTAAAATGTAAAAACACAAACTTAGATAAACTGTGGAAGGGTTCTGTACATTTATATTTGAAGGGACACAGTTTTCGATTTAGAATCATGCCATCTGGTAAGGTCTTCTTGAGTAAACGGTCCATGATATTTTAAAATAATCTTTACTTTTCTGTATTTTATTGGGGTAATACGTATTTACCTGCATATGCTTTTCTGATTTTTCTTGTCATGTACACCAGAAACAAAGGTGTTAAATGATTTTAAACAATTTGGACATACATCGTTGCTAATTTTAAACACCAGTTACATTCATTTTGTTTTTGATTCTGTTTCTGAAAGTTCGCCAACATTTTCATTATTCCATAATTGAACACTAGATTTAATTGAAATTGGACATAATTGATGAGTTAGTCCTCTTTTTGTTTATATGTGTTGCTTGCTAATACAATAAACATGGATGAATATGTAATAGCAACTAGCACACTAGTACGGTGAATTGTTATTCCTTGCAGACGTGCATTTATTAATAACGCCTCATTCTTTATTTATTTTTATAATGTAATGCTCGATACACCAATATTTAAAAGTTTCAATGAATTAACAGCAACAATAAGAAATATGATAGCATTAAAGTGTTTTTATAAAGATTAATCAAAGACAAACTTTCAAGAACAAAAATCTCCTTTAGATGTTGCTAAATATTGGTTGATATTGTGATGATCTGCAGTTGAATCAATTAGTGTATCTATATTAAGAGTACCTTTAAAATTATACTTATTTATAGATGTTATGATTAATGATGATGTTAACATTGTTAAAAATATTCTGTAGTTATTTTAAGTTATAGTAAATTACATCATGTTAAAAGAAATGGACCGTTTTGATAATATTCTTTTTTTCTCAATTATTAGGGTCTGCGCCATGGCGGTGGGCTACCCGGTTCTGGCACAGTTTCTTCTTTTACTAATGGTCACAGTAAATTTCACAACAACTGATGCTTCAAGCACGGCCACGGATGCTTCTACCACAACTACTGACGCTTCGAATGCAACCACATATGTTTCAACCTCAACCACAGACTCTTCGACCATAACCACAGATTCTTCAACCACGACTACAGACGCGTCAACAACAACCACAGACGCGTCAGCAACAACTACAGATGTTTCAACCACAACAACAAATGCGTTAAGCACAACAACTGATACTTCAACCACGACCACGGACGCTTCTACCACAACTACACACGCGTCAACTACAACCACAGACTCTTCGACCATAACCACAGATGCTTCATCAACAACAACCGAAACTTCAACTACAACCACAGGTGCTTCAACAACGACCACAGACGCGTCAACTACAACCACAGATGCTTCAACCACGACCACAGACCCATCAGCAACAACCACAGATGCTTCAACAACAACAGACCCATCAACAACAACCACAGATGCGTCAACTACAACCACAGATGCTTCAACCACAACCATAGACCCGTCAACAACAACCACAGAGCCGTCATCTACAACCACAGACGCTTCAACCACGACCACAGACGCTTCAACAACAACCACAGACCAATCAACAACAACCACAGATGCTTCAACAACAACCACATACCCATCAACAACAACCACAGACGCGTCAACTACAACCACAGATGCTTCAACCACAACCACAGATGCTTCAACCACAACCATAGACCCGTCAACAACAACCACAGAGCCGTCATCTACAACCACAGAAGCTTCAACCACGACCACAGACGCTTCAACAACAACCACAGACCCATCAACTACAACCACAGATGCTTCAACCACAACCACAGACGCTTCAACCACGACCACAGAAGCTTCAACAACAACCACAGACCAATCAACAACAACCACAGATGCTTCAACAACAACCACAGACGCTTCAACCACGACCACAGAAGCTTCAACAACAACCACATACCCATCAACAACAACCACAGACGCGTCAACTACAACCACAGATGTTTCAACCACAACCACAGATGCTTCAACCACAACCATAGACCCGTCAACAACAACCACAGAGCCGTCATCTACAACCACAGACGCTTCAACCACGACCACAGACGCTTCAACAACAACCACAGACCCATCAACAACAACCACAGATACTTCAACAACAACCACAGACGCTTCAACCACGACCACAGACGCTTCAACAACAACCACAGACCCATCAACTACAACCACAGAGCCGTCATCTACAACCACAGACGCTTCAACCACGACCACAGACGCTTCAACAACAACCACAGACCCATCAACAACAACCACAGATACTTCAACAACAACCACAGACGCTTCAACCACGACCACAGACGCTTCAACAACAACCACAGACCCATCAACTACAACCACAGATGCTTCAACCACAACCACAGACGCTTCAACCACGACCATAGACCCGTCAACAACAACCACAGAGCCGTCATCTACAACCACAGACGCTTCAACCACGACCACAGACGCTTCAACAACAACCACAGACCCGTCAACTACAACCACAGATGCTTCAACCACAACCATAGACGCTTCAACCACGACCACAGACGCTTCAACAACAACCACAGACCCATCAACTACAACCACAGATGCTTCAACAACAACCACAGACGCTTCAACCACGACCACCGACGCTTCAACAACAACCACAGACACGTCAACTACGACCACAGAGTCATCAACCTCGACCACAGAGCCATCAACCACTACTACAGAAGCGTCAACTACAACCACAGACGCTTCAACCACGACCACAGAGTCATCAACAACAACCACAGACGCGTCAACTACGACCACAGAGTCATCAACCACGACCACAGAGCCATCAACAACAACCACAGACGCTTCAACAACAACCACAGATGCTTCAACTACAACAACAGATGCTTCAACCACGACCATAGACGCGTCAACTACAACCACAGATGCTTCAACCACAACTACAGAAGCGTCAACCACTACCACAGAGCCTTCAACCACGACCACCGACGTTTCAACAACAACCACAGAGCCGTCAACAACAACCACAGACGCTTCAACCACTACTACAGAAGCATCAACAACAACCACAGACACGTCAACTACGACCACAGAGTCATCAACCACTACCACAGAGCCTTCAACCACTACTACAGAAGCGTCAACAACTACCACAGAGCCTTCAACCACTACCACAGAGTCATCAACAACAACCACAGACGCGTCAACTACGACCACAGAGTCATCAACCACGACCACAGAGCCATCAACAACAACCACAGGCGCTTCAACAACAACCACAGATGCTTCAACTACAACAACAGATGCTTCAACCACGACCATAGACGCGTCAACTACAACCACAGATGCTTCAACCACAACTACAGAAGCGTCAACCACTACCACAGAGCCTTCAACCACGACCACCGACGTTTCAACAACAACCACAGAGCCGTCAACAACAACCACAGACGCTTCAACCACTACTACAGAAGCATCAACAACAACCACAGACGCGTCAACTACGACCACAGAATCATCAACAACAACCACAGAGCCGTCAACAACAACCACAGACGCTTCAACCACTACTACAGAAGCATCAACAACAACCACAGACGCGTCAACTACGACCACAGAATCATCAACAACAACCACAGAGCCGTCAACAACAACCACAGACGCTTCAACCACTACCACAGAGTCATCAACAACAACCACAGACGCGTCAACTACGACCACAGAATCATCAACCACGACCACAGAGCCATCAACAACAACCACAGACGCTTCAACAACAACCACAGATGCTTCAACTACAACAACAGATGCTTCAACCACGACCGTAGACACGTCAACTACAACCACAGATGCTTCAACCACAACTACAGAAGCGTCAACCACTACCACAGAGCCTTCAACCACGACCACCGACGTTTCAACAACAACCACAGAGCCATCAACAACAACCACAGAGCCTTCAACCACTACCACAGAGCTTTCAACCACTACCACAGAAGCGTCAACCACTACTACAGAGTCTTCAACCACTACCACAGAGCCTTCAACCACTACCACAGAGCCTTCAACCACTACTACAGAGCCTTCAACCACTACCACAGCAGCGTCAACCACTACCACAGAGCCTTCAACCACTACTACAGAGCCTTCAACCACTACCACAGCAGCGTCAACCACTACCACGGAGCCTTCAACCACTACCACAGAAGCGTCAACCACTACCACAGAAGCGTCAACCACTAATACAGAGCCTTCAACCACTACCACGGAGCCTTCAACCACTACCACAGAAGCGTCAACCACTACCACAGAGCCTTCAACCACTACCACAGAGCCTTCAACCACTACCACAGCAGCGTCAACCACTACCACAGAGCCTTCAACCACTACTACAGAAGCGTCAACAACTACCACAGGGCCTTCAACCACTACCACAGATGCTTCAACTACAACCACAGATGCTTCAACGACAACTACAGAAGCGTCAACTACTACCACAGAGCCTTCAACTACTACCACAGAGCCTTCAACCACTACCACAGAGCCTTCAACCACTACTACAGAAGCGTCAACAACTACCACGGAGCCTTCAACCACTACCACAGATGCTTCATCTACAACCACAGACGCTTCAACCACGACCATAGCGTCATCAACAACAACCACAGAGCCTCCAACTACTACCACAGAGCCTTCAACCACTACTACAGAAGCGTCAACTACTACCACAGAGCCTTCAACCACTACTACAGAGCCTTCAACCACTATCACAGCGCCTTCAACCACTACTATAGCGCCTTCAACCACTACCACAGAGCCTTCAACCACTACTACAGAGCCTTCAACCACTACTACAGAAGCATCAACCACTACCACAGAGCCTTCAACCACTACCACAGAGCCTCCAACTACTACCACAGAGCCTTCAACCACTACTACAGAAGCGTCAACCACTACCACGGAGCCTTCAACCACTACAACAGAGTCTTCAACCACTACTACAGAGCCTTCAACCACTACCACAGAGCCTTCAACCACTACTACAGAGTCTTCAACCACTACCACAGAGCCTTCAACCACTACTACAGAGTCTTCAACCACTACTACAGAGCCTCCAACTACTACCACAGAGCCTCCAACTACTACCACAGAGCCTTCAACCACTACTACAGAAGCGTCAACCACTACCACAGAGCCTTCAACCACTACTACAGAGTCTTCAACCACTACCACAGAGCCTTCAACCACTACCACAGAGCCTTCAACCACTACCACAGAGCCTTCAACCACTACACCAGAGCCTTCAACCACTACCACAGAGCCTTCAACCACTACCACAGAGCCTTCAACCACTACCACAGAACCTTTAACCACTACCACAGAGCCTTCAACCACTACTACAGAGCCTTCAACCACTACTACAGAAGCGTCAACCACTACAACAGAGTCTTCAACCACTACTACAGAGCCTTCAACCACTACTACAGAGCCTTCAACCACTACTACAGAGTCTTCAACCACTACCACAGAGCCTTCAACCACTACTACAGAGCCTTCAACCACTACTATAGCGCCTTCAACCACTACCACAGAGCCTTCAACCACTACTACAGAAGCGTCAACCACTACCACAGAGCCTTCAACCACTACTACAGAGTCTTCAACCACTACTACAGAAGCGTCAACCACTACCACAGCGCCTTCAACCACTACTACAGAGCCTTCAAGCACTACCACAGAGCCTTCAACCACTACTACAGAGCCTTCAACCACTACCACAGCGCCTTCAACCACTACCACGGAATCTACTACAACCAATTCTGAAGCAGGTAGCGCTTTAAAGCAATTTTCGATAGATGTCTTATTTAACTTATATTTCTAGAATCAATTAATGCGATTTTTAATTAAACGAGGTAACTTTCAAAAACAATATAGTGAAACCAGTTTGGCATGTTTGATTCATTTATTCTCAACTTGCAAAGAAAACAGACATTCTAATTCAGAATCTATAGATAGAATGAGTGTAAATAAATCGTTTTACTTGCATACCATTGACAAATAAATGGGATAAAGACTCAAGGCTTTATCGACAGTTCCCACAAAATGAGAACCAAGGTGGTGAGAGGGAAGCCATTACATTAAATCTCACTGATAACACGTATATTAACTTGCATTGACAACACTCACACTAACAGAACATCACATAGACAACCAAAGAAACATAGTTTCGCCTCTTAAAAGGTAAATATATTTTTCTTTATCTAATGGCCTGATTCGTTTCTTGTTTCATATTTTAATCTATATCAGATACAAGCATTGCCTTTTATTTTCTATTCACTCATTCCTTTGGTGTCATGTTACAGACTTTCACGTAACTTACCTGTGACAGTATCATTTTGGTTATTGCTTTGTCTCCAGATGCTATCATGTAAAAACCTGTGAAATTTGGTTATATATTTTAGAGCATAAAAGTAATAAGAAAAGAAATAATGAACATAAAGTTACACAATATCTACTTTTTTATTGTTTTTTTTTTTTTATTTTGAACATTCAGCAACCACAACGACTGGGGCAACCAGTACAACTGTAACCACCACCACGACAGAAGCAGGTAAGGAATGGGATAGTATACGTTTTCCAAGTAGGATATTGATATGAATTATTTTGATTTACGATTAGACATTTCCCCGAAATATGACAAAGTGAATATTTTATGATACTATGAGATACATTTTGTACACCTGATTGTAAACATAAAATAATGCATAATGAATATATATATATATATATATATAAATGAAATGTATTTCTTCCATGCGTAATTAGAGACAATTAGTTATACATTCAGCTTTAGTATTGTTTTCCAAAATCTAAAAAAAAAAATCGGAAAATGGAATTTTTGATTAGATTTTAAGCCTTTCATCATCGACTGCTATTTCAGATACAACAACAACGACAGTACCTTCAACGACAACATCAGAAGGGACCACTACCACCACTGAAACAGGTAATGCTCTGAACAATTCAATACTGCTTACGAATTAATGCAAAATGTATAAGCACAAAAGTTACGTACAATTTAGTTAGTGTTTTTATACATGAATCTACAAATCCAAAACTACGGCAATCTATCGATATGAATCAAACAGTAATGATTTAATAAAATTATTTGTGAACAAAGTAGATAATTTTAAATACAAAAACTGTAAACTTTTGATAGACATTACATGGAACCATGTAGTAAACATTTACACATTTCACTATACATGTATACATGGTCTCAAATGAGTTTCCAGGTCATACTCCGCGTTAGAAGTTTTTTTATTTTTGTGAATCATGGAAAGCAAAGATTAACACTTTGAGATGAGTTTCACAAGCTTTCGCTTTTTATCTATGATTTTTAAATCTTTATCTCGTTGTATCTAATTTTTCACTGTCTTTGATGACCGCTAATAGACATGTAAGCAAAATGAAAGTCCTGCGAATATAACCAACTACACAGTTTACTCCCTAATTACATTTGTATATCGAACATCGTGCATACGATAGGCACCATATTCCATATATCGTACTATACTCGTTAGAAACACCTTTAACCAGTTCAGCAAAAATATTGACCCATAAAAATTATAGTTTTTGAGAAGCATATTTAAGTTATGGTACTTCATACATAATATGTGTTTGTAATCTATTTGTTGTGAGGTACCACAACATGGCCTTTTGTGGGAACCTAGAATGCAAACATAGGACTCGGTTTGTAGGTATCTATGTATGTGTGTTTGATATATACATAATTTACTATCTGAGTATCTCTTTAACTGTGCACTCATCGGTCTTGAAATATAGATTTGTAAATAATATTAATCAGGTAGAAGTAATGTCGATGAAAGGCGAAGCCGGGGTAATTATTTTTCTACCGGGTACGTAAATAAAACACTATATGGACCGATATTGAAGTCATTACCTTCATATTACAGATGTTTCTATACAAAATTGCTACAAAAAAACCTTATAACAGGAACATACCTCAAATTAAAAATAAAATATTCACATGTCTCAAATCCCGAGTTCCATTCAGAAACATATGGAGTCCATATATTTGGCCGTTCAAAATTACATTAGACTCCGTATCTGATATATTATCTTGCACGTGACTATCTGATCCAATCAGATCAAGAGGAAAATTTGACGTGTTTGTAATTCTCAGTAATTTCATTTCCGCTTTTCCACGAATTGATATATTTGTTTGGGGTTAACCTGTTCAATCATGATGACGTCCTGAAAACCACAAATACCATTTAATAGGACTTCAAAACGGTTTTATTAAAAATGATTGAATTGTAGTTTGATATATCTATAGTTAGAGTTTTGTCTCCCCTGGTCAAATTTGATTCCATAACATATCGATAAAACAGAAAGTTACAGAGCCACAGACGGCAATGTTTTCGTAAAAAAATAATGTTTCGTCTTCACTGTTTTTGAATGAACGTATCTTTGTTATTTACATCATTAACAACTACCATTATAGCCACTACATCAACTGTTGAGACAACCACAACTAATGAAGCCACTACATCAACTGCTGAACCAACCACTACTACTGTAGCCACTACAACAACTGCTGAACCAACAACAACTACAGTACCCACTACAACAACTGCTGAACCAACCACTACTACTGAAGCCACTACAACAACTGCTGAACCAACCACAACTACTGAAGCCACTACATCAACTGCTGAACCAACCACTACTACTGTACCCACTACAACAACTGCTGAACCAACCACTACTACTGAAGCCACTACAACAACTGCTGAACCAACCACTACTACTGAAGCCACTACATCAACTGCTGAACCAACCACTACTACTGTAGCCACTACAACAACTGCTGAACCAACAACTACTTTCGAAGCGACATCTACAACAGTACCGACAACAACAACAACTGAATCAGGTAATGGACGTTTTTCAGCTAGGAACATAACACCTCCATATTATTCGGCTGTTCATTATGCATAGATTGAGACACTATGTCTTATCATGCAGACATCCATAGTTAGTAATTTGTGTCCCCTGATTATATCTGATTACACAAAATATCGGTAATTCAGATATATTACAAAGACAGACCCGTTCACGTGACGATTAATTATTTTTTGATAGTTTTTCTTGATATGTATGTTTGTTATTTACATCATCAACAACTTTCGCTTTAGCCACTACAACAACTACAGAAGCCACTACAACAACTGCTGAACCAACCACAACTACTGTAGCCACTACAACAACTGCTGAACCAACCACTACTACTGTACCCACTACAACAACTGCTGAACCAACCACTACTACTGTACCCACTACAACAACTGCTGAACCAACCACTACTACTGTACCCACTACAACAACTGCTGAACCAACCACTACTACTGTACCCACTACAACAACTGCTGAACCAACCACAACTACTGTAGCCACTACAACAACTGCTGAACCAACCACTACTACTGTACCCACTACAACAACTGCTGAACCAACAACAACTACTGTAGCCACTACAACAACTGCTGATCCAACAACAACTACTGAAGCCACTACAACAACTGCTGCTGTAGCCACTACAACAACTGCTGAACCAACCACTACTACTGTAGCCACTACAACAACTGCTGAACCAACCACTACTACTGTACCCACTACAACAACTGCTGAACCAACCACTACTACTGTACCCACTACAACAACTGCTGAACCAACAACAACTACTGTAGCCACTACAACAACTGCTGAACCAACCACTACTACTGTAGCCACTACAACAACTGCTGAACCAACCACTACTACTGTACCCACTACAACAACTGCTGAACCAACCACTACTATTGTACCCACTACAACAACTGCTGATCCAACAACAACTACTGTAGTCACTACAACAACTGCTGAACCAACAACTACTTCCGAAGCGACATCTACAACAGTACTGACAACAACAACAACTGAATCAGGTAATAGACTTTTTCAGCTAGGAACATAAGACCTCCATATTATTCGGCTGTTCATTATGCATAGATTGAGACACTATGTCTTATCAAGCAGGCATCCATAGTTAGTGCTTTGTCTCCCCTGAATATATCTGATTACACAAAATATCGGTAATTCAGATATATTACAAAGACAGACCCTTTCACGTGACGATTAATTATTTTTTATTAGTTTTGCTTGATATGTATGTTTATTATTTACAATATCAATAACATTCGCATTAGCCACTACAACAACTACAGAAGCCACTACAACAACTGCTGAAACAACAACAACTACTGAAGCCACTACAACAACTGCTGATCCAACAACTACTGTAGCCACTACAACAACTACAGTTCCAACAACAACTACAGAAGCCACTACAACAACTGCTGAACCAACCACAACTACTGTAGCCACTACAACAACTGCTGAACCTACCACTACTACTGTACCCACTACAACAACTGCTGAACCAACAACTACTTCAGAAGCGACATCTACAACAGTACCGACAACAACAACAACTGAATCAGGTAATAGATTTTTTCAACTAGGAACATCAGACCTCCATATTATTCGGCTGTTCATTAGGCATAGATTGAGACACTATGTCTTATCAAGCAGACATCCATAGTTGGTGCTTTGTCTCCCCTGAATATATCTGATTAAACGAAATATCGGTAATTCAGATATATTACAAAGACAGACCCGTTCACATGACGGTTAATTATTTTTTGATAGTTTTGCTTGATATGTATGTTTGTTATTTACATCATCAACAACTTTCGCTTTAGCCACTACAACAACTACAGAAGCCACTACAACAACTGCTGAACCAACCACAACTACTGTAGCCACTACAACAACTGCTGAACCAACCACTACTACTGTACCCACTACAACAACTGCTGAACCAACCACTACTACTGTACCCACTACAACAACTGCTGAACCAACCACTACTACTGTACCCACTACAACAACTGCTGAACCAACCACAACTACAGTACCCACTACAACAACTGCTGAACCAACCACTACTACTGTACCCACTACAACAACTGCTGAACCAACCACTACTACTGTACCCACTACAACAACTGCTGAACTAACCACTACTACTGTACCCACTACAACAACTGCTGAACCAACCACTACTACTGTACCGACTACAACAACTGCTGAAACAACCACAACTACTGTAGTCACTACAACAACTGCTGAACCAACCACTACTACTGTAGCCACTACAACAACTGCTGAACCAACCACAACTACTGTAGCCACTACAACAACTGCTGAACCAACCACAACTACTGTACCCACTACAACAACTGCTGAACCAACAACAACTACAGAAGCCACTACAACAACTGCTGAACCAACCACAACTACTGTAGCCACTACAACAACTGCTGAACCAACAACTACTACTGTACCCACTACAACAACTGCTGAATCAACCATTACTACTGTACCCACTACAACAACTGCTGAATCAACCACTACTACTGTACCCACTACAACAACTGCTGAACCAACCATTACTACTGTAGTCACTACAACAACTGCTGAACCAACCACTACTACTGTACCCACTACAACAACTACTGAACTAACAACAACTACTGTAGCCACTACAACAACTGCTGAACCAACCACTACTACTGTAGCCACCTCAACAACTGCTGAACCAACCACTACTACTGTACCCACTACAACAACTGCTGAACCAACCACTACTACTGTACCCACTACAACAACTGCTGAACCAACCACTGCTACTGTACCCACTACAACAACTGCTGAACCAACCACAACTACTGTAGCCACTACAACAACTGCTGAACCAACAACTACTGTAGCAACTACAACAACTACAGTTCCAACAACAACTACAGAAGCCACTACAACAACTGCTGAACCAACCACAACTACTGTAGCCACTACAACAACTGCTGAACCAACCACTACTACTGTACCCACTACAACAACTGCTGAACCAACCACTACTTCAGAAGCGACATCTACAACAGTACCGACAACAACAACTGAATCAGGTAATAGACTTTTTTCAGCTAGGAACATAAGACCTCCATATTATTCGGCTGTTCATTAGGCATAGATTGAGACACTATGTCTTATCAAGCAGGCATCCATAGTCAGTGCTTTGTCTCCCCTGAATATATCTGATTACACAAAATATCGGTAATTCAGATATATTACAAAGAGAGACCCGTTCACGTGACGATTAATTATTTTTTGATAGTTTTGCTTGATATGTATGTTTGTTATTTACATCATCAACAACTTTCGCTTTAGCCACTACAACAACTACAGAAGCCACTACAACAACTGCTCAACCAACCACAACTACTGTAGCCACTACAACAACTGCTGAACCAACAACTACTACTGTACCCACTACAACAACTGCTGAAACAACCACAACTACTGTAGCCACTACAACAACTGCTGACCCAACCACTACTACTGTACCCACTACAACAACTGCTGAACCAACCACTACTACTGTACCGACTACAACAACTCCTGAAACAACCACAACTACTGTAGACACTACAACAACTGCTGAACCAATCACTACTACTGTAGCCACTACAACAACTGCTGAACCAACCACTACTACTGTACCCACTACAACAACTGCTGATCCAACAACTACTGTAGCAACTACAACTACAGTTCCAACAACAACTACAGAAGCCACTACAACAACTGCTGAACCAACCACAACTACTGTAGCCACTACAACAACTGCTGAACCAACCACTACTACTGTACCCACTACAACAACTGCTGAACCAACCACTACTTCAGAAGCGACATCTACAACAGTACCGACAACAACAACAACTGAATCAGGTAATAGACTTTTTTCAGCTAGGAACATAAGACCTCCATATTATTCGGCTGTTCATTAGGCATAGATTGAGACACTATGTCTTATCAAGCAGGCATCCATAGTCAGTGCTTTGTCTCCCCTGAATATATCTGATTACACAAAATATCGGTAATTCAGATATATTACAAAGAAAGACCCGTTCACGTGACGATTAGTTATTTTTTGATAGTTTTGCTTGATATGTATGTTTGTTATTTACATCATCAACAACTTTCGCTTTAGCCACTACAACAACTACAGAAGCCACTACAACAACTGCTGAACCAACCACAACTACTGTAGCCACTACAACAACTGCTGAACCAACAACAACTACTGTACCCACTACAACAACTGCTGAAACAACCACAACTACAACAACTGCTGAACCAACCACAACTACTGTACCCACTACAACAACTGCTGAACCAACCACAACTACTGTACCCACTACAACAACTGCTGAACCAACAACAACTACTGTAGCCACTACAACAACTGCTGAACCAACCACTACTACTGTACCGACTACAACAACTGCTGAACCAACCACAACTACTGTAGCCACTACAACAACTGCTGAACCAACCACTACTACTGTAGCCACTACAACAACTGCTGGACCAACTACAACTACTGTACCCACTACAACAACTGCTGAACCAACCACTACTAATGTACCCACTACAACAACTGCTGAACCAACCACTACTACTGTACCCACTACAACAACTGCTGAACCAACCATCACTACTGTACCAACTACAACAACTGCTGAACCAACCACAACTACTGTAGCCACTACAACAACTGCTGAACCAACCACTACTACTTTAGCCACTACAACAACTGCTGGACCAACTACAACTACTGTACCCACTACAACAACTGCTGAACCAACCACTACTAATGTACCCACTACAACAACTGCTGAACCAACCACTACTACTGTACCCACTACAACAACTGCTGAACCAACCACTACTACTGTACCAACTACAACAACTGCTGAACCAACCACAACTACTGTAGCCCCTACAACAACTACAGTTCAAATTACAACTACAAAAGCCACTACAACAACTGCCGAACCAAACACAAGTACTGTACCCACTACAACAACTGCTGAACCAACCACAACTACTGTAGCCACTACAACAACTGCTGAACCAACCACTACTACTGTACCCACTACAACAAATGCTGAACCAACCACTACTACTGTACCCACTACAACAACTGCTGAACCAACCACTACTACTGTACCCACTACAACAACTACTGAACCAACCACAACTACTGTACCCACTACAACAACTGCTGAACCAACAACAACTACTGTACCCACTACAACAACTGTTGAACCAACCACCAGTACTGTACCCACTACAACAACTGCTGAACCAACCGCTACTACTGTACCCACTACAACAACTGCTGAACCAACCACTACTACTGTACCTACTACAACAACTGCTGAACCAACCACTACTACTGTACACACTAAAACAACTACAGAACCAACAACAACTACTGTAGCCACTACAACAACTGCTGATCCAACAACTACTGTAGCCACAACAACAACTACAGTTCCAACAACAAGTACAGAAGCCACTACAACAACTGCTGAATCAACCACAACTACTGTAGCCACTACAACAACTGCTGAACCAACCACTACTGCTGTACCCACTACAACAACTGCTGATCCAACAACTACTGTAGCCACAACAACTACAGTTCCAACAACAAGTACAGAAGCCACTACAACAACTGCTGAATCAACCACAACTACTGTAGCCACTACAACAACTGCTGAACCAACCACTACTGCTGTACCCACTACAACAACTGCTAAGCCAACAACTACTTCAGAAGCGACATCTACAACAGTACTGACAACAACAACAACTGAATCAGGTAATACATTTTTTTTCAGCTAGGAACATCAGACCTCCATATTATTCGGCTGTTCATTAGGCATAGATTGAGAAACTATGTCTTATCATGCAGACATCCATAGTTAGTGCTTTGTCTCCCCTGAATATATCTGATTACACAAAATATCGGTAATTCAGATATATTACAAAGACAGACCCGTTCACGTGACGAGTAATTATTTTTTGATGGTTTTGCTTGATATGTATGTATGTTATTTACATCATCAACAACTTTCGCTTTAGCCACTACAACAACTACAGAAGCAACTACAACAACTGCTCAACCAACCACAACTACTGTACCCACTACAACAACTGCTGAACCAACCATTACTACTGTACCCACTACAACAACTGCTGAACCAACCACTACTACTGTAGCCACTACAACAACTGCTGAACCAACCACTACTATTGTACCCACTACAACAACTGCTGAACCAACCACAACTACTGTACCCACTACAACAACTGCTGAACCAACCACTACTACGGTACCCACTACAACAACTGCTGAACCAACCACTACTACTGTATCCACTACAACAACTGCTGAACCAACAACAACTACTGTAGCCACTACAACAACTACAGAACCAACAACAACTTCGGTAGCCACTACAACAACTGCAGAACCAACAACTACTTCCGAAGCGACATCTACAACAGTAGCGACAACAACAACAACTGAACCAGGTAATTGACTTTTTCAGCTAGGAACATAAGACCTCCATATTATTCGGCTGGTCATTAGGCATAGATTGAGACACTATGTCTTATCATGCAGACATCCATAGTTAGTGCTTTGTCTCCCCTGAATATATCTGATTACACAAAATGTCGGTAATTCAGATATATTACAAAGACAGACCCGTTCACGTGACGATTAATTATTTTTGATAGCTTTTCTTGATATGTATGTTTGTTATTTACATCATCAACAACTACAGTACCAACCACAACTACAGAAGCCACTACAACAACTGCTGAACCCACCACAACTACTGAAGCCACTACAACAACTACAGAACCAACCACAACTACTGAAGCCACTACAACAACAAAAGAACCAATGGCAACTACGGTAGCCACTACAACAACTGCTGATCCAACCACAACTACTGAAGCCACTACATCAACTGCAGAACCAACAACTACTACTGAAGCCACTACAACAACTGCTGATCCAACAACAACTACTTTAGCCACTACAACAACTCCTGAACCAACAACAACGACTGTAGCAACTACAACAATTGTAGAACCAACAACAACTACTGAAGCCATTACAACATCTGATGAACCAACCACAACTACTGAAGCCACTACAACAGCTGCTGATCCAACAACAACTACTGAAGCCACTACAACAACTGCCGATCCAACAACAACTACTGTAGCCACTCCAACAATTATAGTTCCAACAACAACTACAGAAGCCACTACAACAACTGCTGAACCAACCACAACTACTGTAGCCAATACAACAACTACAGAACCAAAAACAACTACGGTAGCCACTACAACAACTGCTCAACCAACCACAAATACTGTAGCCACTACAACAACTGCTGAACCAACAACTACTTCAGAAGCGACATCTACAACAGTACCGACAACAACAATAACTAAATCAGGTTATAGACTTTTTTCAGCTAGGAACATCAGACCTCCATATTATTCGGCTGTTCATTAGGCGTAGATTGAGACACTATGTCTTATCAAGCAGACATCCATAGTTGGTGCTTTGTCTCCCCTGAATATATCTGATTAAACGAAATATCGGTAATTCAGATATATTACAAAGACAGACCCGTACACGTGACGATTAATTATTTTTTGATAGTTTTGCTTGATATGTATGTTTGTTATTTACATCATCAACAACTTTCGCTTTAGCCACTACAACAACTACAGAAGCCACTACAACAACTGCTGAACCAACAACAACTACTGAAGCCACTACATCAACTGCTGATCCAACAACAACTACTGTACCCACTACAACTACTACAGTTCCAACAACAACTACAGAAGCCACTACAACAACTGCTGAACCAACCACAACTACTGTAGCCACTACAACAACTGCTGAACCAACCACTACTACTGTACCCACTACAACAACTGCTGAACCAACAACTACTTCAGAAGCGACATCTACAACATTACCGACAACAACAACAACTGAATCAGGTAATAGACTTTTTTCAGCTAGGAACATAAGACCTCCATCTTATTCCGCTATTCATTAGGCATAGATTGAGACACTATGTCTTATCAAGCAGATATCCAGAGTTAGTGCTTTGTCTCCCCTGATTATATCTGATTACACAAAATATCGGTAATTCAGATATATTACAAAGACAGACCCGTTCACTTGACGATTAATTACTTTTTGATAGTTTTGCTTGATATGTATGTTTGTTATTTACATCATCCACAACTTTCGCTCTAGCCACTACAACAACTACAGAATCAACAACAACTACAGAAGCCACTACAACAACTTCTGAAGCAACCACAACTACTGAAGCCACTACATCAACTGCCGAACCAACAACTACTACTGAAACCACTACAACAACTGCTGATCCAACAACAACTACTGTAGCCACTACAACAACTGCTGAACCAACAACAACTACTGTAGCAACAACAACAACTGCAGAGCCAACAACAACTACGGTTGCCACTACAACAACTACAGAAACAGGAACAACTACTGAAGCCACTACAACAACTACAGAACCAACAACAACTACGGTAGCCACTACAACAACTGCTCAACCAACCACAACTACTGAAGCCACTACAACAACTACAGAACCAACAACAACAACGGTAGCCACTACAACAACTGCTGAACCAACCACAACTACTGTAGCCACTACAACAACTGCTGAACGAACAACTACTTCAGAAGCGACATTTACAACAGTAGCGACAACAACAACAACTGAATCAGGTAATAGACTTTTTCAGCTAGGAACATAAGACCTCCATTTTGATTCGGCTGTTCAGTAGGCATAGATTGAGACAATATGTCTTATCAGGCAGACATCCATAGTTAGTGCTTTGTCTCCCCTGATTATATCTGATTACACAAAATATCGGTAATTCAGATATATTACAAAGGCAGACCCGTTCACGTGACGATTAATTATTTTTTGATAGTTTTCCTTGATATGTATGTTTGTTATTTACATCATCAACAACTTTCGCTATAGCCACTACAACAACTACAGAAGCAACTACAACAACAGCTGAACCAACCACAACTACTGTACCCACTACAACAACTGCTGAACCAACCACTACTACAGAAGCCACTACAACAACTGCTGAACCAACCACTACTACTGAAGCCACTACAACAACTGCTGAACCAACAACAACTACTCTAGCCACTACAACTACTGCTGAACCAACAACTACTACAGTAGTGACAACAACTACAACTGAATCAGGTAATAGACATATTTTTTTCAACTATGAACATAAGAAGTCGGTATCATTCGGCTGTTCGAAATGCATAGATTTAGATTAAGATTTTTTACAAAGGCAGACCCGTTCACGTAGCGATTATTTATTTTTTCATAATTTTCCTTTCTTTTTATGTTTGTTATTTACATCATTAACAACTTTCACTTTAGGCACTACATCAACTGTAGACCCAACAACTACTGTAGCAACTACAACAACTGTTGATCCAACAACTACTACTGAAGCTAATACAACAATTGCTGAACAAACAACAACTACTGTAGTCACTACAACAACTGCTGAACCAACAACAACTACTGTAGCCACTACAACAACTGCTGAACCAACAACTACTACAGTAGTGACAATAACAACAACTGAATCAGGTAATAGACATATTTTTCAGCTATGAATATAAGAAGTCGATATTATTCGGCTGTTCGAAATGCATAGATTTAGATTAAGATTTTTTACAAAGGCAGACCCGTTCACGTAGCGATTATTTATTTTTTATAATTTTCCTTTCTATGTATGTTTGTTATTTACATCATTAACAACTTTCGCTTTAGGCACTACATCAACTGTAGACCCAACAACAACTACTGTAGCAACTACAACAACTGTTGATCCAACAACTACTACTGAAGCTAATACAACAATTGCTGAACAAACAACAACTACTGTAGTCACTACAACAACTGCTGAACCAACAACAACTACTGTAGCCACTACAACAACTGCAGAACCAACAACAACTACTGTAGCCACTACAACAACTGCTGAACCAACAACTACTACAGTAGTGACAACAACAACAACTGAATCAGGTAATAGACATATTTTTCAGCTATGAACATAAGAAGTCGATATCATTCGGCTGTTCGAAAGGCATAGATTTAGATTAAGATTTTTTACAAAGGCAGACCCGTTCACGTAGCGATTATTTATTTTTTATAATTTTCCTTTCTATGTATGTTTGTTATTTACATCATTAACAACTTTCGCTTTAGGCACTACATCAACTGTAGACCCAACAACAACTACTGTAGCAACTACAACAACTGTTGATCCAACAACTACTACTGAAGCTAATACAACAATTGCTGAACAAACAACAACTACTGTAGTCACTACAACAGCTGCCGAACCAACAACAACTACTGAAGCCCCTACAACAACTGCTGACCAACCAACAACTACTGAACCCTCTACAACAACTGCTGATCCAACAACTACTACTGAGGCCACTACAACAACTGCTGAACAAATAACAACTACTGAACCATCTACAACAACTGCTGACCCAACAACTACTACTGAGGCCACTACAACAACTGCTGAACAAACAACAACTACTGAACCATCTACAACAACTGCTGACCCAACAACTACTACTGAGGCCACTACAACAACTGCTGAACAAACAACAACTACTGAACCATCTACAACAACTGCTGACCCAACAACTACTACTGAGGCCACTACAACAACTGCTGAACAAACAACAACTACTGAACCATCTACAACAACTGCTGATCCAACAACTACTACTGAGGCCACTTCAACAACTGCTGAACCAATCACAACTACCGTACTCACAACAACAACTGCTGAACCAACCACCATAACAGTAGCAACTACAACAACTGCAGAACCAACAACAACTACTGTAGCCACTACATCAACTGCCGAACCGACCATAACAACCGTATTAACAACATCAACTGCTCAAACAACAACCACACCCCAAGCGACAACTACTACAGTAGCTACAACAACAACTAAACCAGGTAAGACATTTTTGGAGCTAGGAACATAAGGAGTCCATATTATTCGGCTGATCGTCATGCATAGATTTAAACTTCATGTCTCAGTTTAGTTCAGTAATTAGTGCTTTATCTCCCCTTATTATATCTGACTACACAAAATATCGGTATTCACATATGTTACGAAAACAGATCAACCTACATGGTGGTCAATTATTTGTTTATTCTTTGTATTTATACAATGTTTTGTTATTTTTGTTGTTTCTGAACCAACAACTACTGCAGTCGCTACATCAACGACTGAACCAACAACAACTAGTTTAGTCACTACCTAAACTGTTGAACCAACTACAAATTCTGTAGCCTCTACATAAGTGCTGAACAAAATACAGCTAATGTAGGCACAACAACTGCTGGCCCAATATCCACTACTGAAGCGACAACTACTTCAGAACCACAGACTACGTCTATTAAAACAACTTCTGTAGGAACTGCAACTGTTGAACTAACTACAAATACTGTAGTAATTACAACATCAGTTGAACCAACTACAACACCTGAACAAGCCACAATTACTGAAACAGTAACAACTATAGAGTCCATAGCAACAATTACTGCAGGTATTATTATGCAGCACCAACAATAACTAATGAATCAGTCACAGCACCAACAATAACTTATTAATCAGTCACAGCCACAGCACCAACAGTAACTTATGAATCAGTCACAGCCACAGCACCAACAATAACACAAAAACAGCACCAACAATAACTAATGAATCAGTCACAGCCACAGCACCAACAATAACTAATGAATCAGTCACAGCGACAGCACCAACAATAACTTATGAATCAGTCACAGCCACAGCACCAACAATAACTAATGAATCAGTCACAGCGACAGCACCAACAATAACTTATGAATCAGTCACAGCCACAGCACCAACAATAACACAGCCACAGCACCAATAGTAACTTATGAATCAGTCATAGCCACAGCACCAACAATAACACAAACACAGCACCAACAATAACTTATGAATCAGTCACAGCCACAGCACCAACAATAACTTATGAATCAGTCACAGCCACAGCACCAACAATAACTTATGAATCAGTCACAGCCACAGCACCAACAATAACTTATGAATCAGTCACAGCCACAGCACCAACAATAACTTATGAATCAGTCACAGCCACAGCACCAACAATAACTAATGAATACGCCACAGACACTGCACCAACAATAACTAATGAATCAGTCACAGCCACAGCACCAACAATAACTAATGAATCAGTCACAGCAACAGCACCAACAGTAACTAATGGATACGCCACAGACACTGCACCAACAGTAACTAATGAATACGCCACAGACACTGCACCAACAATAACTAATGAATCAGTAACAGCCACAGCACCAACAATAGCTACTGAATCAGTCACAGCCACAGCACCAACAATAACTACAGAACAATTACAACTACAGCACATGCCCAAACTAAAATAAAGCAGAACAGACTACAATTAACCGAACCTACTATTGAAAGCCTCAGTGTCAACCACATGAACAGAACACTAAACACTCCAACAACCAACACTACAATGTATCGTGAAATATCACTGAATCAATAACAATTCAGGACTCTTCTGTACATAAGCCTCTTACCTTGATCTTTACCTGCAACGAAACCAACGGAGACAGCTCTCCAGCAAGTTGTATTATAAGCTTTTGAATTCCCTATTTTTATTTATTTTCTATTTACGGTAAGAAATAAGTCAATAAATAATTGCATGTCGCAGTTAATTAATATTCCATGGATTGTTCCCGATATCATGATTTTCATTCGAGATGTCGGCTACAAGCAAACAAAATCATAACACGGGGTTTTAAGATTTGAACGCTGATGGAGATTACGGTCGTAATTATAATTTCGATGTTTTGGATTTTTTCAATCTGCGATATGGAGTTGAACGTGTTTAATGCTCGTTAGCTTTGTTGTTGTATACATTCCCATTTGGAAACGTGACATTACTAGATACTAGATTTACATAGCAAATGTCGCCAATAAAGAAAAAGAAACTTAATCATCAGGAACACCTGGTCTTATTCTCCTCGTACTTTAAAATGAGTCACCATCTAAATGTTTCCTTTGTCCATTGTTTGCTCTAGTTTCTAGAAAACAAAAACTGTGTTGACATGTCGGTGTTTTCTTTCGGATACATCCCAGACAGAAAGTGGAAAGGATTTCAAACAAACGTTATTTAAACGCAACTACCTCATATTAGTTCATGTTTCTTTCTGGGTTTTTTTTTCAGCGAACATTCGTGTTTGCTATCTGGTTTGATTTCGGTGTGTATTTTTTTTTTTTTTAAGACATTTTTTAGCCGTAGGGCTTTCACAGCGCCCTGCTTATCGATTTTCGATAGATTTAACATAAACACAACAAAACTCCACTTCTCGCTTATTTCCATATATAAACAAGTATAACCAAATCGATTTTCCATTAAAGAATTAATTAATTAGAGAGTTACTGCTTTATATATAAAGATTCACATATATTTCAAATGTTTTCAGACAGTCAGAAAGTGCCAGAGGAACATCTTTTGACTAATGAAAACATTTTTTAAAAATATTACATATTGTTAGCATTCAATCACTGTACAAATAATTCCAGATTAAGAGGAAGCGTCTAAGATCCTTTTGCCACAAGTCTGATCGCGATATCAAAGTTTTCGCACAATAATTATGTTTTTTTTTACTAATGAACACAGATTACTCATCAACAACAAATATTCTATCTGACACAAACCATTGGAATCCTTCAATTAATTAATCTAGTGAAGTTATGAAATAGTACCACTCTCATCAAACACATTGAAAAATATCTTAACGTCGTTTCTTTTTAAGGTACTACCACCACGAGTGTGTCATTGCCCCTTAAAGTAAATTTTATTTATAGAAACATCCACTATCGCAGATACCACGACTACCGCACCTACTACAACTGATTTTTCTACAACAGCCGTAGCTACAACAACCTCAGATGTTACTAAAACTGCTGAAGCTACTACAACCTCTAATGTTACTACAACTGACGCAGCTACTACAACTTCAGATGTTACTACAACTGCCGCAGCTACTACAACTTCAGATGTTACTACATCGGCCGCAGCTATTACTACATCAGATGTTACTACAACTGCGGCGACTACTACAACCTCAGATGTTACTACAACTGATGCAGCTACTACAACTTCAGATGTTACTACAGCTGACGCAGCTACTACAGCTTCAGATGTGACTACAACTGACACAGCTACTACAACATCAGATGTTACTACAACTACAGCAGCTACTACATCTGATTTTACTACAACTGCCGCAGCTACTACAACCTCTAATGTTACTACAACTGACGCAGCTACTACAACTTCAGATATTACTAGAACTCCCGCAGTTACTACAACCTCAGATGTGACTACAACTGACACAGCTACTACAACATCAGATGTTACTACAACTACAGCAGCTACTACATCTGATTTTACTACAACTGCCGCAGCTACTTCAACCTCTAATGTTACTACAACTGCCGCAGCTACTTCAACCTCAGATGTTACTACAACTGACGCAGCTACTACAACATCTGGTATAACCACAACAGACATTGTTAGCATAACCTCTACCTTAACGTCTACAACTATAGCAAATCGTAAGTTACGGGTTTACAGTCATGTAAATGTTTGACATTTGTGATATCGTTGGTGATATCAAGTCATGATCAATCTTCACTTCATAAGTTCAGTTTCAGGTTGATAGGTAATTGTAAGTAGATGCTAATCTGCAGTAGAACATATCACTTCTGAAACAACGTCTACATATATTTTGAGCATGCTTAATGTCCCATTTAGATGTAGGTCCATATTTTGTTCCCTTTAAGTATGGTCATGTTTTGATAATCATATCCTTTTCTAATGAGATGTTGCTTTTCCTTTTCAGTGATCGTATTATGTAGTGACTGTGTTAGTCCACTGTAGCTTAAAACAATATATATATATGATATTGTGCTCTCAAATATGATGAATCATATACATGATGTATGATTGATATCAAGTCTACATTATTCATATAGGTAGCATATGATTCTCTAACATATTTGAAAGGACGTGTTACCTTTGTTCGTAATCTGAACATTTTATCGCCATTCCTGTGATAATTTCTGTACAATTACCTGAAGATACCTTGAAGGTAGGATTTTATTGACCCTTAAAGTAAATTTTATTTATAGAAACATCCACTATCGCAGATACCACGACTACCGCACCTACTACAACTGATTTTTCTACAACAGCCGAAGCTACAACAACCTCAGATGTTACTACAACTGCTGAAGCTACTACAACCTCTAATGTTACTACAACTGCCGCAGCTACTACAACTTCAGATGTTACTACAACTGACGCAGCTACTACAACCTCAGATGTTACTACAACTGCTGCAGTTACTACAACCTCAGATGTTACTACAACTGCCGCAGCTACTACAACATCAGATGTTACTACAACTGCTGCAGTTACTACAACCTCAGATGTTACTACAACTGCCGCAGCTACTACAACATCAGATGTTACTACAACTGCTGCAGTTACTACAACCTCAGATGTTACTACAACTGCCGCAGCTACTACAACATCAGATGTTACTACATCGGCCGCAGCTACTACAACTTCAGATGTTACTACAACTGACGCAGCTACTACAACCTCAGATGTTACTACAACTGCTGCAGTTACTACAACCTCAGATGTTACTACAACTGCCGCGGCTACTACAACATCAGATGTTACTACATCGGCCGCACCTACTACAACCTCAAACGTGACTACAACTGACACAGCTACTACAACATCAGATGTTACTACAACTACAGCAGCTACTACATCTGATTTTACTACAACTGCCGCAGCTACTACAACCCCAAATGTTACTACAACTGACGCAGCTACTACAACATCAGATGTCACTACAACTGACGCAGCTACTACAACCTCAGATGTTACTACAACTGCTGCAGTTACTACAACCTCAGATGTTACTACAACTGCCGCGGCTACTACAACATCAGATGTTACTACATCGGCCGCACCTACTACAACCTCAAACGTGACTACAACTGACACAGCTACTACAACATCAGATGTTACTACAACTACAGCAGCTACTACATCTGATTTTACTACAACTGCCGCAGCTACTACAACCCCAAATGTTACTACAACTGACGCAGCTACTACAACATCAGATGTCACTACAACTGACGCAGCTACTACAACATCAGATGTCACTACATCGGCCGCACCTACTACAACCTCAAATGTGACTACAACTGACGCAGCTACTACAACATCAGATGTTACTACAACTACAGCAACTACTACATCTGATTTTACTACAACTGCCGCAGCTACTACAACCTCTAATGTTACTACAACTGACGCAGCTACTACAACATTAGATGTCACTACAACTGACGCAGCTACTACAACATCAGATGTCACTACAACTGACGCAGCTACTACAACATCTGGTATAACCACAACAGACATTGTTAGCACAACCTCTACCTTAACGTCTACAACTATAGCAGATCGTAAGTTACGGGTTTACAGTCATGAAAATGTTTGGCATTTGTGATATCGTTGGTGATATCCAGTCATGATCAATCTTCACTTAATAAGTTCAGTTTCAGGTTGATAGGTAATTGTAAGTAGATGCTAATCTGCAGTAGAACATATCACTTCTGAAACAACGTCTATATATATTTTGAGCATGCTTAATGTCCCATTTAGATGTAGGTCTATATTTTGTTCCCTTTAAGTATGGTCATGTTTTGATAATCATATCCTTTTCTAATGAGATGTTGCTTTTCCTTTTCAGTGATCGTATTATGTAGTGACTGTGTTAGTCTACTGTAGCTTAAAACAATATATATATAATATTGTGCTCTCAAATATGATGCATCATATACATGATGTATGATTGATATCAAGTCTGCATTATTCATATAGGTACAATATGATTCTCTAACATATTTGAAAGGACGTGTTACCTTTGTTCGTAATCTGAACATTTTATCGCCGTTCCTGTGATAATTTCTGTACAATTACCTGAAGATACCTTGAAGGTAGGATTTTATTTACTCTTAAAGTAAATTTTATTTATAGAAACATCCACTATCGCAGATACCACGACTACCGCACCTACTACAACTGATTTTTCTACAACAGCCGAAGCTACAACAACCTCAGATGTTACTACAACTGCTGAAGCTACTACAACCTCTAATGTTACTACAACTGACGCAGTTACTACAACCTCAGATGTTACTACAACTGCCGCAGCTACTACAACATCAGATGTTACTACATCGGCCGCAGCTACTACAACCTCAAATGTGACTACAACTGACTCAGCTACTACAACATCAGATGTTACTACAACTACAGCAGCTACTACATCTGATTTTACTACAACTGCCGCAGCTACTACAACCTCAAATGTTACTACAACTGACGCAGCTACTACAACATCAGATGTCACTACAACTGACGCAGCTACTACAACATCAGATGTCACTACAACTGACGCAGCTACTACAACATCTGATATAACCACAACAGACATTGTTAGCACAACCTCTACCTTAACGTCTACAACTATAGCAAATCGTAAGTTACGGGTTTACAGTCATGTAAATGTTTGGCATTTGTGATATCGTTGGTGATATCCAGTCATGATCAATCTTCACTTCATAAGTTCAGTTTCAGGTTGATAGGTAATTGTAAGTAGATGCTAATCTGCAGTAGAACATATCACTTCTGAAACAACGTCTACATATATTTTGAGCATGCTTAATGTCCCATTTAGATGTAGGTCTATATTTTGTTCCCTTTAAGTATGGTCATGTTTTGATAATCATATCCTTTTCTAATGAGATGTTGCTTTTCCTTTTCAGTGATCGTATTATGTAGTGACTGTGTTAGTCCACTGTAGCTTAAAACAATATATATATAATATTGTGCTCTCAAATATGATGCATCATATACATGATGTATGATTGATATCAAGTCTACATTATTCATATAGGTACAATATGATTCTCTAACATATTTGAAACGACGTGTTACCTTTGTTCGTAATCTGAACATTTTATCGCCATTCCTGTGATAATTTCTGTACAATTACCTGAAGATACCTTGAAGGTAGGATTTTATTTACCCTTAAAGTAAATTTTATTTATAGAAACATCCACTATCGCAGATACCACGACTACCGCACCTACTACAACTGATTTTTCTACAACAGCCGAAGCTACAACAACCTCAGATGTTACTACACCTGCTGAAGCTACTACAACCTCTAATGTTACCACAACTGACGCAGTTACTACAACCTCAGATGTCACTACAACTGACGCAGCTACTACAACATCAGATGTCACTACATCGGCCGCAGCTACTACAACCTCAAATGTGACTACAACTGACGCAGCTACTACAACATCAGATGTTACTACAACTACAGCAGCTACTACATCTGATTTTACTACAACTACCGCAGCTACTACAACCTCAAATGTTACTACAACTGACGCAGCTACTACAACATCAGATGTCACTACAACTGACGCAGCTACTACAACATCAGATGTCACTACATCGGCCGCAGCTACTACAACCTCAAATGTGACTACAACTGACGCAGCTACTACAACATCAGATGTTACTACAACTACAGCAGCTACTACATCTGATTTTACTACAACTGCCGCAGCTACTACAACATCAAATGTCACTACAACTGACGCAGCTACTACAACATCAGATGTTACTACAACTGACGCAGCTACTACAACATCAGATGTCACTACAACTGACGCAGCTACTACAACATCTGATATAACCACAACAGACATTGTTAGCACAACCTCTACCTTAACGTCTACAACTATAGCAAATCGTAAGTTACGGGTTTACAGTCATGTAAATGTTTGGCATTTGTGATATCGTTGGTGATATCCAGTCATGATCAATCTTCACTTCATAAGTTCAGTTTCAGGTTGATAGGTAATTGTAAGTAGATGCTAATCTGCAGTAGAACATATCACTTCTGAAACAACGTCTACATATATTTTGAGCATGCTTAATGTCCCATTTAGATGTAGGTCTATATTTTGTTCCCTTTAAGTATGGTCATGTTTTGATAATCATATCCTTTTCTAATGAGATGTTGCTTTTCCTTTTCAGTGATCGTATTATGTAGTGACTGTGTTAGTCCACTGTAGCTTAAAACAATATATATATAATATTGTGCTCTCAAATATGATGCATCATATACATGATGTATGATTGATATCAAGTCTACATTATTCATATAGGTACAATATGATTCTCTAACATATTTGAAACGACGTGTTACCTTTGTTCGTAATCTGAACATTTTATCGCCATTCCTGTGATAATTTCTGTACAATTACCTGAAGATACCTTGAAGGTAGGATTTTATTTACCCTTAAAGTAAATTTTATTTATAGAAACATCCACTATCGCAGATACCACGACTACCGCACCTACTACAACTGATTTTTCTACAACAGCCGAAGCTACAACAACCTCAGATGTTACTACAACTGCTGAAGCTACTACAACCTCTAATGTTACCACAACTGACGCAGTTACTACAACCTCAGATGTCACTACAACTGACGCAGCTACTACAACATCAGATGTCACTACATCGGCCGCAGCTACTACAACCTCAAATGTGACTACAACTGACGCAGCTACTACAACATCAGATGTTACTACAACTACAGCAGCTACTACATCTGATTTTACTACAACTACCGCAGCTACTACAACCTCAAATGTTACTACAACTGACGCAGCTACTACAACATCAGATGTCACTACAACTGACGCAGCTACTACAACATCAGATGTCACTACATCGGCCGCAGCTACTACAACCTCAAATGTGACTACAACTGACGCAGCTACTACAACATCAGATGTTACTACAACTACAGCAGCTACTACATCTGATTTTACTACAACTGCCGCAGCTACTACAACATCAAATGTCACTACAACTGACGCAGCTACTACAACATCAGATGTTACTACAACTGACGCAGCTACTACAACATCTGGTATAACCACAACAGACATTGTTAGCACAACCTCTACCTTAACGTCTACAACTATAGCAAATCGTAAGTTACGGGTTTACAGTCATGTAAATGTTTGGCATTTGTGATATCGTTGGTGATATCCAGTCATGATCAATCTTCACTTCATAAGTTCAGTTTCAGGTTGATAGGTAATTGTAAGTAGATGCTAATCTGCAGTAGAACATATCACTTCTGAAACAACGTCTACATATATTTTGAGCATGCTTAATGTCCCATTTAGATGTAGGTCTATATTTTGTTCCCTTTAAGTATGGTCATGTTTTGATAATCATATCCTTTTCTAATGAGATGTTGCTTTTCCTTTTCAGTGATCGTATTATGTAGTGACTGTGTTAGTCTACTGTAGCTTAAAACAATATATATATAATATTGTGCTCTCAAATATGATGCATCATATACATGATGTATGTTTGATATCAAGTCTGCATTATTCATATAGGTAGCATATGATTCTCTAACATATTTGAAACGACTTGTTAACTTTGTTCGTAATCTGAACATTTTATCGCCATTCCTGTGATAATTTCTGTACAATTACCTGAAGATACCTTGAAGGTAGGATTTTATTTACCCTTAAAGTAAATTTTATTTATAGAAACATCCACTATCGCAGATACCACGACTACCGCACCTACTACAACTGATTTTTCTACAACAGCCGAAGCTACAACAACCTCAGATGTTACTACAACTGCTGAAGCTACTACAACCTCTAATGTTACTACAACTGACGCAGTTACTACAACCTCAGATGTTACTACAACTGCTGCAGTTACTACAACCTCAGATGTTACTACAACTGACGCAGCTACTACAACATCAGATGTTACTACAACTGCTGCAGTTACTACAATATCAGATGTTACTACAACTACAGCAGCTACTACATCTGATTTTACTACAACTGCCGCAGCTACTACAACCTCAAATGTTACTACAACTGACGCAGCTACTACAACATCAGATGTCACTACAACTGACGCAGCTACTACAACATCAGATGTCACTACAACTGACGCAGCTACTACAACATCTGGTATAACCACAACAGACATTGTTAGCACAACCTCTACCTTAACGTCTACAACTATAGCAGATCGTAAGTTACGGGTTTACAGTCATGTAAATGTTTGGCATTTGTGATATTGTTGGTGATATCAAGTCATGATCAATCTTCACTTAATAAGTTCAGTTTCAGGTTGATAGGTAATTGTAAGTAGATGCTAATCTGCAGTAGAACATATCACTTCTGAAACAACGTCTACATATATTTTGAGCATGCTTAATGTCCCATTTAGATGTAGGTCTATATTTTGTTCCCTTTAAGTATGGTCATGTTTTGATAATCATATCCTTTTCTAATGAGATGTTGCTTTTCCTTTTCAGTGATCGTATTATGTAGTGACTGTGTTAGTCCACTGTAGCTTAAAACAATATATATATAATATTGTGCTCTCAAATATGATGCATCATATACATGATGTATGATTGATATCAAGTCTACATTATTCATATAGGTACAATATGATTCACTAACATATTTGAAACAACTGATTTTACTACAACAGCCGCAGCTACAACAACATCAGATGTTACTACAAATGTCACAGGTACAACAACATCAGATGTTACTACAAATGTCACAGGTACAACAAATTTTAATGTTACTACAAATGTCACAAGTACAGGAACTCTAATGTTACTACAGATGTTACAAGTACTGCAACCGCTGAGGTTATTACAGCTGCCTCTGATGTAAAGTAACCATGATTCCTATTGCAACAACCACTTGTAAGCTATGCAATTTTAAAGTGAAATATGCATATTGGTAGGAATAAATGTTATAACTTTACAAGGACAAAATGAAAACCAGCCTCAGGTGATGTGTGTAATACGTATCTGTTATCAAGCTGGTCAACAAATCGACTTCATTTCTGCTGGAATTGTGATAAAATTCAAACAAAAATCATCAATAACATTTAATAATATTTTTTCATGAATTTAGGTTTAAGGTCCGAAGACCAAGGTCATGACATCCTTACTTATTCACATTTGAGGTTTTATCAAACTATGTACATCGGGTACTACAAGTGCATTGATTTTATTTCTAAAAAAAATATCAAACTATTATGCAAGGACGTGTACACTCCTGTTTCGGGGTTGTAAAGTGTACTTCACCGTTACTTGTTACCAAAAGTCACCCAACCATATGGATACATAAACCTAGATATTTCAGTTATTATTTTCATCAAACTAGGCACATGCATGATGAAAAACCCCGCCATGATTGTGTTTTTAGTATTCTTTGGTTAGGGTCAAATAATATCACTATACGCAAAAGAGCAGGAATATTAATGCTTCAAATAATTTGACAGTTACCATATAAATAATAGCATTCCCTTATCCAGTTATATTTGGTTATTACCTTAGCAAACATGTAATCATTTCCATATTAATTTTCTATCGTTTTAGAAACAACCACTGTGGCTGCTAACACGACAACTTCTGCAGATACAACAACCACCGATTCGACAACTGTTACCACAGGTGTGACAACTTCTGCAGATACAACAACCACAGGTGCGACAACTGTTATCACAGGTGTGACAACTTCTGCAGATACAACAACCACCGATTCGACAACTGTTACCACAGGTGTGACAACTTCTGCAGATACAACAACCACAGGTGCGACAACTGTTACCACAGGTGTGACAACTTCTGCAGATACAACAACCACAGGTGCGACAACTGTTACAGGTAACTTATCACCGCATCTTAAATGTTAACAACTATGACAAGACGTTTGTACTTACCACAACTCTTTCAGCATAATCTAGTATTGTATTACGATGATGGTACAATAATATTTATTATTACATGGAAACGTTGCAAAATATTTCAATTTTATGTTAAGAAGTTGTGTTGTTTATGTAATTACTGATTAGATATTTGTGTATGTTTTTATGTAATGCGATTTGACAATCAGTAGTATTTCTTGCGCCCGTATGGTCACACGCTGACGAATAACTTGAAATACGATCTATCGGAAATTAATTCTGTTCTAAGGAATCCTAAAATGAATTCGGCATGCTATGTGTGTATCTTGTAGTAACAGTTACATCTGTGGTATAAATTATATCTTATAGATACCACAACTTCTGCTCCGACTACAACTCCCGTGGGCACTACAACAGTTGTATCTACTACAGCCATATTGAACGGTAAGGAATATTCACTGTCACATTCTGTACAAGGATAGTCTTTAACTTGTTCAATGCGATACACAAAATACATATTTTACCATAGACATGGCATAAAAGATTTTCCAGATAACTATCTTAATTATTTAACTCAATTAATATCAAGATGAACACACAAGATAAAACCAATGACAAAGTGTGTGCTCACACCAAATGTTACAGCTAAAATAAGTTCGAATTTAGACAGAAACGTATTAAGATGAAGGCATGCGGATACACACGGATAACTAATTGCAATGATCATACGTATATGCACTGCAAATTTTTTTTTTTTAATCATAAAAAGTCAACTTTATTCTTTGCTTATTCGTCATTATATATAAAGGTTGTATTCACAGTGTTATACGAAATATATCTAAATAACTTCAAACAACGCTTCAAATTAAGAATTTGCGCCTTCATCTCATAGATAATATATATAGACAATTTATTAAGTATCATTAATATTCAGCGATGAAAGCGTTAGTGCTTATATTTTAATACCTGTTAATATTTTTCATTTTTTCAAATATTTATAATATTCATATGATTTGAAATGTTTAATGTTGAGTCAAAATCATCTTGCTTGATGTTTTAGCAACAACCGTGACTTCAACTACCACAACGATGCCGACTACAACAACAACGGCGCCGACTACAACTACAACGACGCCGACTACAACAACAACGGCGCCGACTACAACAACAACGGCGCCGACTACAACAACAACGGCGCCGACTACAACTACAACGACGCCGACTACAACTACAACGGCGCCGACTACAACAACAACGACGCCGACTACAACAACAACGACGCCGACTACAACAACAACGACGCCGACTACAACTACAACGACTCCGACTACAACTACAACGACGCCGACTACAACAACAACGACGCCGACTACAACTACAACGACTCCGACTACAACTACAACGACGCCGACTACCACAACAACGACGCCGACTACAACAACTACGCAGCCTCTTAGCCCTCAATTAGGTGAGACATTCAGTAGCAATATATTTATTAATCGCTCATCGATATATTCTACTTGTTTCTATATGAAGGAGAAACATTATGTAGGTACTTGTGTGCAAACTGTAAATGTCAATCAAAAAACTTTTTGCATTAGAACGGAGAGACCAAACGAAGAATTGGAAAACTTTTTTTGTCAAATTAATTAGAAAGACAGATATATCTGATAAATGTTCATCTTCGTCCCAACTTGGATATGATAATTACATCGCATGTCAATTTCAAGGAAGTGACATACTTGTCTTCTTTTTCAGACCTGATCAGTTCGACTTCTGCCCTCTCTATCCAATCGACTGGAAATTCTGGACCAATATTTTCACAATTTTCCATGCCTGTTACGAATGGTATGAGCTACAACATGATGTATGTAAGTAAAAATAATTAAAAGTTTTAAAGAAAGAACATACTAATCGATGAAATTAGTATAACTTAGTTCAGTGTCAAAAACACATGTACTCTGCCTATTTTGAGATACTCAGCTACTCATCAACACGTTTTACAGCCATTTTTAGTACTATTAGTCAGGGTAACAATCTTATTCGGATACGTTTTACTATAATTCTTTTAGTACTATCATACTGTTCTTCTTAGTATGATCAATCGGGGGAACACTCTCATTGGAACACGTTCACTGTTCTTCTTAGTATGATCAATCGGGGGAACACTCTGATTGGAACACGTTCACTGTTCTTCTAGTATTACCATTCAGGGGAACAATTTTGAATGCTACTTCCAGAGAAACATTTCTTTCAAAACTAACTTAAATTTGTATACTGTTTTATCTTATTGAAAGCTGAGAGCTTTCTGTTCGAAGAATGAATACGATACAAATAAGCAGTTGTGAACTATACTTGAACATATTGCGCAAAAAGTAAGGCAGTCGACAAGTAAATGATATACTTCAGCTCACAGAAAGGATGAAATTTCTGCTTGACATTATCTCCATCGAGTAACGTCCTACTGTAACAAAACACATATCTCACGCACCTAATTGTAAAACAGCATCTACGTTGTAACATTTCACTTCTCCTTCACACCTCATTGTTACACAACTTTTTTCAAAGCAAACTATGACATTACACCCCCACCAACACACACCAGAAGCATAGTACTATACCCTACACATTCATTAACACAATATCTATCTACCACACCTAACTTTAACACCCTACAATAACACAACACCTATCATTGACGCTCAGCTGTAACACAAAGCCTCGACCACATCCTACAATAACACAACACCTATCATTGACGCCCAGCTGTAACACACAGCCTCCCCCACACCCTTAAATAACCCAACACCTATCATTGACGCCCAGCTGTAACACAAAGCCCACCTCCCCACACCCTACAATAACACAACACCTATCATTGACGCCCAGCTGTAACACAAAGCCTCCCCCTACACCCTACAATAACACAACACCAATCATTGACGCCCAGCTGTAACACAAAGCCCACCTCCCCACACCCTACACTAACACAACACCTATCATTGACTCCCAGCTGTAACACAAAGCCTCCCCCTACACCCTACAATAACACAACACCAATCATTGACGCCCAGCTGTAACACAAAGCCTCCCCCTACACCCTACAATAACACAACACCTATCATTGACGCCCAGCTGTAACCATCTAGCACACTCCACTGTAAATCAATACATATCTCCGATACTCTTGTGTAACACAACACCTATCTCCCATCCTTTACTTTTAAAACAATCATCTGCTACCATCAGCTGTTTTAACGCATATCTCGACATATATTTTATTACTTTATTTCATTGTGAATGTCTGATCTATTCATTTTAATCATTTTACGTTAATTTTATTTTCAGGTTAACAAGAACGGATTCATATCATTAGGTCAAAGGATGTCTGTTTATGGTCAAGCTTTATCGGACATTCTTAGTTTCTCTTCTGGTTATAATGTGGTGTGTGGTCTCGGACTTGAATTTAATTACCGGAATGTATTTTATCAAGTATTTGATATTACGGAAGATGCTTTTACCGGGTCTGGATCTGTGCTCAATAATTTGAAGCTCACAATGGACGAGATTAGTCTCGAAGCAAAACTGTCGAGATTTACTCCTTATTGGGCTTTGGTCGCTACGTATCTAAACGCAACACTCGAAAACGGCGATGCCACGCAGGTAAACCATTTGCCATGGTAACACAAATTCTTACCACGGTTATTGTTTTCTTTGTAGATGACGTCGTATAAAATCTTAGATTCATATTTTTACTGCAGTTTTATTTTAGTGTTTTTTTGCATTGGACATATTCCACTAACGTGTTATTAATTGCAGTTACTGTATATTGTTTTCTATGGCAGATACTGAGGTTGTGCCACTTCACCATCGCGCTAACCTGTTTGGATGTGCTAAAATATAAACGTCCAGTGTACATCATATACCATATTGATAATTCTGAGTATTTTCGCCTGTCACAGTTTAAATTATGTAGTTACATGTTTTCTCTTACCTCCCCATTGCTATTGATTGAAAATATTCTAGTCCAGATATTGGAGAACTGTCGCATACTTAATTAAATATCAACAGTATCAGAAACTCAAAAAAAACAAAAACATTGCCGTTGAGTATGAAATCATTTGTTTACCTGAAACACTTCCGGTACTGTTTTATCTACTCACTACTCACAAGCTGTTAATTAACGGTTTCGCCTTACTTAAGACTTGATAGACAGAATAAATACAGCTAATTCCTTGATTTTTTTTATTTCTAATGGGTCAATTTTTATGCCCATCATTTACAGATTGATAATTCATAATAAAAGCAGTGTATCGCCGTTATTCATCACTATAGTATTCAATTTCGATATATCCACATGTTCTCTTAAGAATGGCTTGGATCCATTAGGAATTGTGATGATAGGTGAGACTTAAAAGTTCAAACCATCACCACTGGTATGTTCAAAAATAGCAAAACATTATTGTTGAAATGCTAATGCTGATCAAGTGTTTCTAAAACGCCGGCCCTTCAGTTATAGACCCTAACTATTGCTGTTTTTCTGGTAAATAACTGTTGCTTAGATTGACATAAACACAGTCTACAACAAAAAAGGGTTATTTGATCATACATCACTCTATTAGCATTTGCATTTGGCTTGTAAAGTTTTTACTAAGATATTTCTAGCAATTGCATAACGAATAACTTATTTACCAGACGGCTGAGGGGTAAACTGTAGATGTATTCAAACAGATTCGAAACTTCCAACTTCAAAAAATCAACGAAATAAAGTGAAAGTAAAGGGTTTCTGCATTTTAGTCATCATACATCTGATCCTTCAAGTTATCTGATGAGTTGAGAACTTGTGAGATGTTGTTAATGTATTACAATGCCTAGCTACAAGACAACAAATTGTTTAACATCAGAAAGAGAAAGTTTTAGACGTAATTTATTAAAATAAATCGATCTTTTCATCAAATCATTGTGAATATTTTTTATTCAGACGGCCACATTTCAAATAACACTTATGACCGACGGTCATACTTCATATAGCATGGTGAATTACAATAACATTGCTATTACGCCGGGGATAGAGACAGACAATGCTGCAGTTGGAGTAAAGATCGGCAGTATGCGCAACCAACTATTTTCGTCTAACACACCACAGGCTTTAGAACTGCATTTGGTTCGAAACGGAGATTCAGGTAACTATATGCAATTCAGTATCGCCAGATTAATGTGTCATACTACTTTGAATAATGCAATTAACCATCGTTTATTTTCAAATATAAACAGGTTATTTATACTTAATACTTAAGTGTTCCCAATCAACATATTGTATAAATGAATATTAGTTAAACATGTTCTGCTGAAAAACCAAAATGCTGTATTAGCAGACGATTGATACCTAATCAAATAGGGAATGGATGGGGATATTGATTTGAGTTCCGTCCGTGTGTCCGTGCGTCTGAGGGATTTCCGGGCAATAAATGCAAAACCGTTCAATTTTAACTTCACAAAACTTTCTGTGTATATTAGGTTAGTGTCTAAATTGTGCCTTATTGGCGACATTTCATTTTTATATATTTTCTGTTACCATGGAAACATAGACAAAATAGTGTGTATTTTCCTTTCCAGGCTACAACTTCAAAACTGTTCCACTCAACTCGACAAAACTTTCTGAATTTATTAGGATAGTACCCAGGTTGTGACTTCTGCTATTGACGAAATTTCATTATTTTCTATATTTTTCTGTTACCAAGGAAACATTCTCAAAAACACACAAAAGATGTGTTAACTTTCCTTTCCGGGATACAACTTCGAAATCATTTCACTCATATCAACCAAACATTATGCATAAATTATGTTAGTGCCCTAGTCGTGCCTAGTAATTGACGAAATTGGAGAGAGTTACCTGCCTTAGTACAACCTTTCTAAGTTCCATAGTATAGTTTAACTTCGTTCTTAACCATATGGATTTGGTTTTAAATTTGGAATTAGATAAACAGGAAATCAAACGTGTTTTTTTTTTTTTTTTTTTTTGGACTATGTTTTGCACTACAGAATAAAATTTTACCAATTCATAGGTCGACGATTCGGGTTCCAATCTGGATAACAGCTTCAGCAAGCTAACTCTCCAATGCGGATAACATATACAGTGTGTTGGCTTTTGTTAGGCTCTTTTTAACCGCCTTAAATTTCCGCACATGATATCATAAAAATCGCTGTAACAATAAGCTGCCATTATATTGTTTATGTACGTTGATGTATATCGTTCTTTTCTACATGTTTTGCTATATGTATCATTCTTGTAAGCACTTTCCTTTTAAGTAAAATAACTATACATTTCACATGTTTCAGCATATCGTGGAATATACGCCAACAGAATCAGTGATAGTGCACTTGTCTCCCCTATTTCTTATACAACAATTTGCGTAAGCTGGGTTTCAAGGCAACCAAGGAGGTCTCTAAACGTCTTTGATAAGTTTTTTGTGTGTCCTTGCAATGAACGGGCAGCTTGGGTTTTTTTTACTCGAATATCACCCAGACTTACCAGTGGGCGAAGGTGTTACGCGGCGAGATCTACAGCTTCACCCTGGGATGCAGTGGTAAGTTTTCTGTTTTGTTTTATCATATCTAACTACTGCTTACATGTTTTGTAGTCAAGCGCTGGGAATATCATGTGATTTATAAAAAGGTAAATGACCATTATTTGATATATTTAACATCATTTCTTTGCCTAGAATAAGACAAAGAAATGCATGTTTTATTAACGTATTAGTATTTGTACAAGACATGGAATTTCTTCAAATACATCCTCGATTCTGCAAAATGGAAGTGCAATATAAGTGCAATATCTATTTATAATTGTCTGGGCAATAACGTTTGATATGTTAAAGAAACAGAGCTACATCACGGTTTTACTTACACTTTCACCTAGGTCAAATATGAAATAATTTTGTATTATTTTGTACTATTTTTATACTATTTTGTATTATTATTACTATTACATATAAATATTTGTTTCCATTAACATTTTGTACTGGTACCTTAAAGAAAAACAAATATTTGCATGACAAGATAAACAGGCCAAAGATGGTTGTCAAAGTTACTATTTTATTTGTTCAAACATTATGAATGATTCGTCAGCAGCTAAAGCCATGACTTAAAATCAATTTCAAGACAAAAAAGCACATAAGTAAAAAAATTCATACTGATGGAATTAAAGTGAATTTGTCTTGGATACTATTGTCTATCAAGGCTGCTGTTTTGTATCTGGAATCATGCAATGCATAGCAGTGAATTAATTTTATTACGCAAGTAATTTTTGATACTTGTAAATATGACATAACAAGCATGAATACTCACAACGAAATGAAAGGAAAAGCTACCTTCAGGTTTATGTATATCTTTTTATTATGGTAATGAATACATTCTTGACCATTAAAGACATACACTACTGCTCACTTCAAACAGCAAATTCTAAATTATTGCATTTGTTTTGAAATTATGAAAATTAAGATCTCTTCAGAAATCTAAAGGTTTCGTTTATTTATCTTTGTGTATTTATCTATTATTAAAGTGAATTTATCATTCTTGTTACAGGAATGTTGCTACCAGAACGGATTTATACTCTCCGGGTATAGGGCAGGAATCCTAATACCATATTACTTTACCTGGATGAGGAACCTTCAACTCATATTTTCACATATCTACAGGGATATTTGTTGTTTATTCTCTAATATGTGCAACTATTACAGCACGGTACGACCCAGTCCTGTTTGGTGCAATCCAACAATTATTATATTACGAGGTAAGTTACCAGTTTGTTTGTCTGTAAACCAGAAAAAAACTTAACAGGCACTGTAATTCCTAGCGACCATCCATTCTCTGAAATATTGTGTGAATACATTCATTAATCAGCGACTGAATTAAAGAAATCAAATTTTCAAAATATATTTACTCTTTGCCCTTGCATAAAATGAGATAAATATCGTGCAATATTTACCAGCAATGTATCATACCAACAAAACCACACGACAGACTCGACATAGTTACAAAAACATATCATACAAACCATAGCACCAGAAAACATGAAACAAAGTTAAGACATGCGATATTAATGTAATTAAACTAACGCACGCTAAATATAATTTAATCCCCAGTAAAACAAAAACAATGAACAAATGCATTTCATACAAACTAAATCGCATTATATACATATACAAATCAAACACACGAAATACATATACAGACTAAACACACGAAATACATATACAAACTAAACACACGAATTACATATACAAACTAAACACACGAAATACATATACAAACTAAACACACGAAATACATATACAAACTAAACACACGAAATACATATACAAACTAAACACACGAAATACATATACAAACTAAACACACGAATTACATATACAAATCAAACACACGAAATACATATACAAACTAAACACACGAATTACATATACAAATCAAACACACAAAATACATATACAAACTAAACACACGAATTACATATACAAACTAAAACACACAAAATACATATACAGACTAAACACAAGAAATTACATATACAAACTAAAACACACGAAATACATATATAAACTAAACACACGAATTACATATACAAACTAAACACACGAATTACATATACAAATCAAACACACAAAATACATATACAAACTAAACACACGAATTACATATACAAACTAAAACACACGAAATACATATACAAACTAAACACAAGAAATTACATATACAAACTAAACACACGAAATACATATATAAACTAAACACACGAAATACATATACAAACTAAACACACGAATTACATATACAAATCAAACACACAAAATACATATACAAACTAAACACACGAATTACATAGTCAAACTAAACACACGAATTACATATACAACCTAAAACACACAAAATACATATACAGACTAAACACAAGAAATTACATATACAAACTAAACACACGAAATACATATACAAACTAAAACACACGAAATACATATATAAACTAAACACACGAATTACATATACAAACTAAACACACGAAATACATATACAAACTAAACACACGAATTACATATACAAACTAAACACACGAATTACATATACAAATCAAACACACGAAATACATATACAAATCAAACACACGAAATACATATACAAATCAAACACACGAAATACATATACAAACTAAACACACGAAATACATATACAAACTAAAACACACAAAATACATATACAAACTAAAACACACGAATTACATATACAAACTAAACACACGAAATACATATACAGACTATCACACGAATTACATTTACAAAGTAAAACACACAACACGCAAAATATATATCATACCAAGCGATACATACGAATTACAGCATAAAGCATGCTTACCAAAATATACGAGTCAGATATATTTCATATGCAAAACATACTTATCACACAAACCATATTGAACAAATGTCGTCAACACCAAAACGGATGAAATATATATATATATCTTAACAGCAGAAATATATATTTAATGTTTGTTTGCCATTTTTTGATGTGACATTAATCAATTTAAAATGTTGATTGATTTTTTCATAGAAATATGACAGATACAACTTTTTATATAAAACTATTGACTTGTCTTTTTTTCCGGTTTTAATACTTTGGAACTTTTGTGTTCAATATAGCCAGTTTGATTGGTGATCCTCACATCAAGACGATTGATGGAAAAGATTATACATTCAATGGATACGGTGAATACTTAATGCTGCGCGTCGACAACAACAATCAAACAATGTTAAAGTCGTTTGAGCTTCAAGCTCGAACAGGCCTTGCATTAGATAAAAATAATGACACAATCAATGCCACTATCTTTACTGCGTTTGTCGCCAAGGACCATACAGACGCTAAAGTGCAAGTGGAACTCGATGTTGACAGTACAAATTCAAGTAAGTCATTTTTTTTCCTTTTACTTTTTTTCTCTCTCTTTTGAAGAGATTTCAATGAACAAGACCATTTTATAAAAAAATATCCAAAATGCTAGGCACACAGTTGAACCGATTGCCTTTAAGTAGTGTGATTTGTTTCCTGATACATTGAATTTATTACCGCAGTTATTATTCACACCCTTAAACCTTAAAAATGTATAATTTAACATTTTATTTTGTTTTTATTTGCTTGAATCGGAGAAAAACTACATCAGATTTTGTATATTGTACTAAAACAGTGGTTTTTGTAAATACATGTATGTATGTAAGTTACACTATGTAAATGTATAATAGCCATATAACCGTGATCGATGTTTGGAATTAACAACTCAAGAAAATATTACATTGACCTTCGACCACTATGTCCATGGTCAATATGTAAAGAATAGTTTAATTCGCATATTGTCTAAAGCCAAAGGAATCATATTGTATGTCGTGGTTCACTGTATACTTTACAGCCACCATGCAATAAGATGTGTTTGAGGATACAGTTATAAGAAAAACACTGTGGAATTGTTTCATTCTATTCTAGTAAACCTATCTGCAATTACCACATAATTACTGCGTAACCAGACATCATTCCTTTCAGTGCTGTGGCTTATATCATGAATAACGAATGTACTCTCAACAATGTGGACTTGTTAGTAAACACCTATCAGACCCAGGTGAACCCATGTTTTAAAACAAACAATCGTGTATTGCTGACTATAGAACAGGGTTATTGATGATAAGTTGACTACGGTCTCCCCACAACTAACTAGCATAACTCAGTGCGCACAACGTTTGTCCTCTAACAATGTAGTAGTCACTAGCTGTATGACAATTGTAATGAAATTGCCTATGTATGTTAGACACAATTACTATTCAATAAACATCTAGCAGCCAATCCATACCGAAAAAGGTTTATACAATTATTCATAATATACTTGTACATATCATGTATCGTTTGAAAACATTGCTGAATTTGCACCTTATATCATGATTTTTTCCCATAACTACAGGACTGCTTATTTACAAGAATGGCATGGAACTAACAGAATTGTTTGAAGCAAATCCGGAGTATGACTCTTCTGAGACTGATCCAAACTGCACTTTGGTCCTTACCCGAGAAAATAATACAGTTCATATTTCAACATCTACTAGTAAGTAGTTGTGTAAACAGTTCATAGAAACCCGATAATTTAATGAGAGCAAAAATGTCACTTTTTGTGGAACCGGTTTGAATATTATATTCGCTGATATCGTTAGAGGATTTTTATATACATACAAGGTAAGTCGTATTTACTAAATTCTATAGTTATATAAAACACGATTGAACTATTTCTTCCTTGCATATAGGCGTCTAACAAATATATACACTATAAATATTGATATCTAGGAGTGGAGAAAAAGTATGCACTATACCTGTTGATATCATTGTCTTTTCGTCAATAGCACACATGTAGAATGCAAGGTATAATTTAGTTAAAATCCGCACCATATTTTAACACTATCGAATTCTACGCTTTATGAGATTTCGGTAGCTATCGATCATGTTAAATGGTCGACGGTTGTACTTGACGACATATGATATGACGCCCTGGAGTACAAGGTTTGAATGAGCCCTTCACGTATTTAGTTCATGTGTTTGTTATCAGTAAGAAAAACTAGTATTATATCAATTGTTTGCAGGACTGCAGATTTCAAAGACCTTCTGTCTTCTTGTTTCAGAGCTATTTACTCCAAGTTCCTAATTCCAACATATATCATTCTTACAACAACTGTAAATACATGCCTGACAATAGCTATGATCGGGAAAGACGATAAATTGTTTGAAATTAATTGTTTTGATGCTTTTTTACAGACATCCGTGTATCAATCACTCCAAGCTTAGGACTTTTGACAGTAGGATTTGACATGCCTAAAGATTTCGAGAACAAGGGTGCGGTTGGTCTTTTAGGAAATTTCAACAATGATCCCAATGACGACTTTGTACTACCGAATGGCACCAGCCTTGATCCCTCTAGAAATTACACCGAAAAGGAAATCTTCTATGAGTTCGGACAGAAATGTAAGCATAATTTCCACTAGATTGGTGGACGACGCTATGTTTTTCATTAGAAAATGTAAACAGACTATAACCGTAGGTTTGGTCCTTTTACTGCTACTCAAATGTTCCACTATGAATTGCTATATTGTTGTTATGTTGAGACGTTAATTGCTTTACATATTTATCGTGTTTCTTTCTTAATGTATGAATTATTTTAAACGTCTATACTTGTGTATCCGTTTGTTATTTAAGCTGCTGCTTCCGTCGACCAAATATGTGCTCTTTCTTAGGTTCTAGAAGTCGTAGACGAACCGAATCATAATTTGGATTTAAATCATTGCTATGCCTTTTGTAGCTCGGAGGTGTATTACAATGAAATAGTTAACCGCTTGTTATTCTAACACTATAAGCTTGATAATGTCTTTGGATATAGGTGATATAAATTTTAAATAATAATAAATTTTGCAAATATTGAAGTAAGATGAAAAGTAGCGAAGCTGGATAATTATTAGACGTTAGGATTAGATGATACTAAACAAATCAGAAACGCTACAAATAAAAATAAATCGGATTCTCTAGAAGACAAAAAACTTGTGATATTTATTTAAATAGCATTACACACACACACACACTCTCTCTCTCTCTCTCTCTCTCTCTCTCTCTCTCTCTCTCTCTCTCTCTCTCTCTCTCTCTCTCTCTCTCTCTCTCTCTCTCACACACACATGATGATATTTTCTTTTTTTTTCAGGGCGCCTCAATGGTTCAGAATCGCTTTTCACATATGCACCAGGGGAATCACCAAACACCTATTATTTTCCCGATTTCGTTCCCATCTTCGTTGACAGCTACAATGCTTCAGTTCTTGAAAATGCCAAAGCTGAATGCGGTGGGGAAAATGCTGCAAAATCATGTATATTTGATTTCCTAAGTACGGGAAATAAGGAGTTGGCTCAACAAACCGCAGCGGATGATTTGCAATCTAATATAGACAGATCGCAATTAGGTATTTACAATTTGCAAATTTGATTTTCTTACACGCTTCCAGTCGATCTCAAAACTAAACACAATTTGGTAAATCAGATAGAGACGTACATGTTTCTGAGAGGGATTATATTTTTCATCGAAATAAGTATATGGGTTTTATCAATCCCGTTTTACTTCTAAATGCGTGGCCAAATTCGCATACACTTTCTCAGATGTTACATGTTTTTGCAAAGACATAATTTCAACATTATTTGTCAAAACGCTCAGGTTGACCTTCATTGTTTATCCAACATTTGTGAATAAATATATAGTAAGTACTATTTTACATTATACACGAAAAACCATACAGGACAAATACTATGACAGTTTGTAATAATTATAAGTTCATCAACTAAGTCATGGGTTATTCTGTCTGACGTTTGTGTCTTTATTGCTCCATAGTCCCTGTTATTAATATATGAATATGTTAATTTCGTCATTTCTTTTTCGTTTAGATGCTTTTCTGTGAAATGTTAATACATTATTTCATCAGAACATTTTCAGTTTTTGCATGCATTATAAATTGATCACCTTTTGTTCCTATGTTCTTGTAATTGTCACAGTGTCTTGATTATGTATTGCTTTTTTCTCTCGTTACCGCCGTTACTAATTTCGCACTATTCTCATTGTGCTTTGAACCTTATTGCTATATTCTTGATATTGCTATTGTAATTTTGACTTTTGTTGCTTTTTTTTCGGAAAGCCTCATCGTGTGAGACTCGTGTGGCTGTGTTTTAATCATTTTCATTGTTTTTTTAATATTATTTTGCTGCTATGTTCTCAGTCATTGTGCTTTTGACTCGTCTACCAATGTTCCAACCAACTTTCTATCGTTGTGCTAACTTTTTTATGTTGTTGTCATCGTGTTTTGACAGGAGTTGCTTTCTTGCCTGCTGTTATGTTTTGTTTTGTTTTTTTTTTTTTTTTTTTTGTTACTTTTTGCCTTCTGTTTTCCCATTTCATTTTGCTTAGGGCTTTTATTTTTTTCTGTCAGGACTGCCTTCTTGTTTTACGTTTTAGTTTTTTTTCCATCGAATGCATCGAGCTGATTTTTGGAGGGATACTGAAAACATAAAATGAAAAACGATTTTTTATCAAGGCCCGATGACCGTGAAGAACCATAGGTATCTTCTTTATTGCCTTGCTGCAATGTATTGCAGTATTTCAGAATTTTTTCTATGTGTTTCTTACTCGTGTTTCGGCGTGTTATCGCTGTTTTATATGCGTATTTTCTCGCCGGCTGGCTTTTCGTTTTTAACTCGTGTTGTTATTTAACTCACGTTTGCTATATAATGCTATGTTCGAGCTTGCTGACATTGTTTTTTTGGCTTGTATTTGTTTCTGCTTTCTGGTGTCATGCTTTTGAACTTGTGTTGTTTCATTTCACCTTCTGTCAGTTTTATCTACCTTTGTTGCTATGCTATAGCATATTTTACCAAGTCTGCAGCATGCTGTTTCGTTGTTGTATTTTGCATCGTCATATCATTTATTGCGATTGTTTGTAAATGTATTTCACATACTGTTTGCGTATGTATTGAAATAAATATATTATAAATCATCTAAGAGCTAAACGTTTAATCTGGCTGAAGCATACTGTGTTCGATGTATGTAATGTAATAGGTTTTAATTGTCGTGAAACTACTTCCACAGTCTCCAGCTTCATCGCATGCAAACTTCCAATGACGAACTTAGCGGCACTTTTATTTTAGCATTTTCCACGCAGAAATAATTATAGAAAAAAACACATAAGTGAATATCCCCATTCTTCAATACAAATTTATAATAATAAACAAACATTAATTTTAACTATTTCATATAAAAGTGTTTCGTTGTCCTTCTAGGATTCTTCACTGATGCTAAGGGCTTAACATTGTATTATGCTAAAACATTATTGTAATAATAACAGCTTCTGTTTGCTGCCTATATATAGTACAATAATTAGTGTTGATACAAATATTAATCACGACACAAATTTGCCAAACAATGATCGCGCCAAAGAAGGCGTTTACAGTGTTCAGAAAGTTACTGTTTTCCTTCGTAACACACTGAAAAATGTTTTGCAGAAAATAGTCCCCCAAGCTTGACCGGAAACGAAAGCTTTACTTTCACCGTTGGCAAAACTGATTCACTCACCTTCACTGCCAACGACACAGGACCAGTCAATATATCCGCTGCGCAATTTCCAGCTTCTGGATTTTCTTCGAACGTTTCCGGGAACTCGTTGACATTGACTTGGACCCCAGAGGACTCATCTGTTCAGAATATACGGTATTGCCATAAAATATGTGTCGCTTACATTAGCAAAGTAATAAGCATTAACGTTATTTCTGGCATAGAAAAGATATGGATATAAACGCATACCCGGTAATGCAGTACATGTAATTAATGTTTTTTATCCAGCTAACATGCCTCGTTTACAGTTTCAATATTTTATCCTCTTGGATTAGGATTACCCTCAAAATTCAGGTTTTTTTTTAAAAAATGATTGGAATATATAAAAGGGACTACATGTGGTTATGTAGATATCCAACAATCCAAACCATAGTGTTGCAATATGTTCCTTAGTTTGGTCTATTTTTAGTATATTTACTTCACAAATGATTTTGTTTCATAACTTCCTTTGCCGTTCAATATTTCTTTTATTTTCCCCAATCAACTACGTGAAATTTTTATTCATGAGACTGAGTAAATAGACTGTTTTTTTATTCTTCAGCTATGATGCACTAAATTGAAATGAAATTGTTTTGACAGAGTAACCGCAGTGGACGAACTGAACTCTGACGCACCACCGATTGACCTCAACATCAGGCTATGCACTCTATGTTCAGATCATGGGACATGTGGAGACAATGTTCGACCAGTCGCTCAGAATGCTGAAGTTGGAAATTTTAATCTTTTGGAATGCATTTGCAACACCGGATGGTCAGGTAAGGGCCAACGGAATTTTTTTTTATCACGAGGATTTTGTCGGCTTGCCACTGCACTTTAGATATAAAATACTATAGGTTTACTGCAAAGTAGGCAAACACATTCCTTAAAAAGAAATTAGATATATGACGGCAGTCGAGATCTGAAACGAAGTCACTGAAAGTTTCTGTTTGACATTGATTTTTCACCAATACTTTCTTTACGGTGGTAGTTTTCACTGACATATCACTTAACTTGGCTTATAAGTAGTCGAAACACTGAAGGTCGTGTATGTATAAATATATTTCTGTAACACATGGTGACGGTGCATTTTCCATGGTTTTGTACGTCAAGCTTATGTTTGTTATATTTTACTTTTGTTTATTCTAGCAAAGCAATTCGATATGTTGATCTGTTTGAGCTAAATGAAATAAGTTTTACCGTTGTGGTTTTTCTATGTTGGTTGTTAAAGGAAATCTATATTCATTTAACTTGATTCTAATTATTTCTGACTGATTACGATCACCGTGTGTGTGTAAACCTTTTTTTCATATATACATTAGGTGATGATTGTGAAATAGACACTAACTCTTGCCTTGAATCACCATGCGCTGTGGGCCAGAACTGTACCGATCTCACCCCAGCACAGGAAGTGGCTCTCAACAGGAGCTACAACTGTACAGAGTGCCCTCAAGGGTACCAGGAGAACAATTCTCGATGTAGAGGTCGGTATAAATTATTCAATATGCAAAGTTCCTGAATATATGTAATTGTGTATGTAATGTAATGTGATGTAATGTAAAAAATGTAATGTAAAAAAAAAAATGTAAATAGTTGTTCACTTGCTTACAAAGACTAAACTTACGCCATTGTCATTACTCAGTCAGATGGATTTTGTATCATTTTCAATATATATGTATCATATATAACTACAGTATCGGGGATCCTTCGGCACCTACTCCCTCCAATTGCTAACGATATCTGAATATTAAATTGCCTAGATAAAAGTACCATTCTGTCATGATTTTCACGACAGCTAAATTAATTCAAAATTAGAACTAAGTTAACTATGTCTCCGTACATATATCTTAGATGTCAAGAATCAGGATTTTAGTTAGTTGTATATCTTGGTATAGGGACCAACGTTAAAGGTAACATGGCCAAATATGTTCGATTCCGAAACATAATCATAACATTTTGTTTGTACAACAGTACAAAACATGAAATATCTTGACTGGTGTCTCATGTGAAAATGACAAACGTTAATGTTATCTTATTTATATTTGGACAAGTTACATGTTTGATACAGTAGCTTGCGGTCATCGAAGGCTATAAATTGTGTGGAAATTATATACCTTATTATTTGAACTACAGGGTATGTTAACCAATACTTTTCGTGTAACGGCATTGTGCATATATCCTTGCCGCTTTAAAGACAGGTTTTGTAAATGGATCAGTCAGTATCGTTTGTTAATAATATTTGTTTATAGAAAAGTCTGAAGCTACAACTTTATTTTACCCAATTGGAATTCACGCTAATTTGTTTATCTGAGTAATCCGTTTAAATGTTGGTATCTTATTCCACAATGTTTTTGTTATCTTAGCATTTGACAACTAAGATCCTATCTAGCGATCATTTGTTTCAGCAAAGCCAGCGTTAACCATAACATTTGTTAATTGAATACGCGTAACAGGAAGATTATAGGTGCTCATTTTATTCAGTTCAGTGGAATAAAAGGAAATTTATTGTTTCTTTGAGAGTATCCTAAGTTGATGCCAGAGACATTTCTTTGTATTCTGAGACATCAGATTTTGGCAAAGCTCAAAGAATCTTTAGGATACTTATGCAGTAGTTGTGAAAAGGTTTCGCATTCTGCATGTGTATACTTCAAAAGGGCAGCTGTCTTAACTCCTTACTGGTAAAAATGTCATTCAAAAAAAGGAAATGAATCATCTCTTTCTTGGAATAAGTAGTAATTATGCTGCAAGCAAAATTTGTTCTAGGTCAAATAGGTCCTTATTGTTATTTTATATTTTATTTCAAGATATTGATGAATGCGCGATGGATGCAGCTAATAATTGCAATCAGAATTGTACAAATACACTTGGGAGCTACAGCTGTTTCTGTAGAGACGGTTTCCGACTTGAGGACTCGACCACATGTATAGGTAGGTCAAATAGATAATATTAGTTTGATAACATTTCACAGGACTTCATTGAAGTTTGATTTTTGAATGAAACAACGAAATGGAGATCGTATGGTAATAAACGTATTCTATAAGCCTAACGTACAATTATGAAAGACTAAATGTATCTCACTTTTTCCTTCACGCAGACATCGATGAGTGTTTGGAGGAATCGGATGGGTGCCAACAAACCTGTGATAACAAAGATGGCGGGTTTGTCTGCGGCTGTGTACCTGGCTATGAGCTTGCATCTGACGGGAAAACCTGTACTCAAGGTATAATTGTATCATAGTTTAATTCAGTTTACCATGAGGATATATTTTGTTGTTTTAATACCTGTTTGAAGTTAGATCAGTCAGTGAATGAATTATTTGCAAAGTATATCAGATAAATGTGCTATATAATCCGACGACTTTTAGTTTTGATGTTTTAAGATAGTTTAAAAGATTCCTTGTTTATAAATAACCGAATTCCTAACTTATATGGAAGGTACGAAATCACTTGTGTCTTATTAGCAGTAGATTGTACCTATGGAGTCACAAACTCTTTAATGAAATATAATGTTAACTATTATATTTAATCATAATATATTTGATCTTTGACAAGTATTCTTTGAAAATTTCTCTTAACGTTAAAAAATAAGTATCAACATCAACTTAATTTCATTGATATAACTTGAAATGAATATACAATGGCAACAAAACCAAAATGCTTCGTTCGATTGAAAAAAAGCTTTCAACAAGATATATACAGACATCAGCTACATATGCTTGTTCGTCTGTAAGGAATTTGTTTTCCAACCACGCTTGTTATATTATTTTACAGAAATATCAATCATTTCATAATTTTGATACCTAGCTCTAAAATAGTATATAAAAGATAAGAAAACCAATGTAAATATCTCCTTATAAACCGTCTCTATATAACTTATTATTCTTTTCATTTCAGTATATAACTTATGTCAGCTTGCTAATAAGAATTGTTCTTACGCGTGCTCCAACAGTTCGGGGGCGGGGACTGTTGAATGTATATGTGAAGGTGGATATGAACTTGATACGGACCAAGTATCTTGTAAAGGTAAGATTGTCTAACCAATTTATGTATTTGGCTCTGCTGTATCTAACTCTGTCATATCAAAATGTGGGATTCTCTTGTGTGTTTGGTACAGGCTTAAATAATATTTGATAATAACATTTCGTCATGTTTTATCTTCTGAACTGAAACAAAACTCTGCGATTTGTTTATTATCCATTGCTGTCAAAACATTCAACGAAAAAGCAAGAATGAAACCATTTGGAGGACAATGATATCTGAATATTTTATTTGTAGACATTGATGAATGCGCAGGAAATATCTGTAACCAAAATTGTTCCAATACCAATGGCAGCTATGAGTGTTTATGCTTTGATGGTTTCAAACTATCCACCGACAAAGTCAGCTGTAACCGTAAGTGGTTTAGTTTCCGTATAACGTTAGAACATAGATGATTTTTATGTATGATTCATGTGCATATGAACAACATTTATACACTCTTTACACTGAATCATATGATCTCCGGATATTGTTATGAAGAGGAGCGGTAATGTTGATGAAATATTTTGAAATTTATTCAAACTGTCCACCGTAGAGTCCGGCTTGATGTACTGCACACAAGACATATTGAAATATAAAGTATATACATTGTGCTTAATATTGAACGTGGCAAAACTATTTTTTAACTGTTGTACACCACGTAAAGACAAATTTGCGAAGCGTGAAAAGCATTACCTAACGTGGAAACCCTGTTTCCATATAAAAAAAGAATAAAGAAAAAATAGCCGATAGTGTAAAAAACTGTATCCCGTACTACATCATTAATATTGCTGTCATAACATGACAGTGTTTTATATCTGTGAAATGCCTAGTCGATCCCACGACAGCATAGTGGATTATTTGTGTGTTATGTACGTTTGGTATGTCTCTTATTTCCAGCTTGTCCTTCGCTTACCTGGGGTCCCGGATGTAGTAACCAATGCAATTGTGACAATGATGGTGCTGTCGGTTGTAATCCAACTTTAGGCTGTGAATGTCTAAATGGATATGAGGGTGAAACGTGCGCTTCAGATGTCAACGAGTGTGTGGTAACTCCAGACATTTGTGGATCTGGGAAATTGTGTAGGAACATCAGAGGTTCCTATGAGTGTTACTGCCGGGATGGCTTCCAGCTTGTTAACAATACCTGTGTCGGTATGTACTCTAATTCCTAGTAAGACTTTTCACATGTTTTAGATTTTAATGGTTTTAACAAAAATCAGTTTTGGGCAAAGCTGTAATTTCTTCATTCAATTCATATGTGTTGGTTCGCCATCATAACGACGTGATTTGTGATTATATATTGTGTCTTTTCGTCTTTCCTAGATATCAAGGAATGTGATTCAGAGCAGCTGAATAATTGTTCCAGTACGACGTCAACATGTTTGGAGGGCGATGGTGGTTTTACATGTAATTGTAAACCAGGATACCAACAGGAAACGCCCTACACCTGCATTGGTAACTTCATAAACACTTAAAATCGGATAACATAGAAATAGAAATGAAGATGTACATGAACTTTCAGATCATCAAGTTTTATTTCTTTTTCTTTGGTTACATATTTTATAAAGACACCAGAGTATACATTTTCAACAATAGTGAGAATGTCAATACAGTTTCTTGTTAAACATGCAAAACTTCGCTCTTGCTCCTGTTTGAATTACGGAAAGCACACGTATTGAAAGACATATCCGTTACCAATGTCGTTATGCAGTAACAAGTTGCAGGAAAAACATCATAAAGTTATAAATTGGCATCCAAGACTGGTATCGTTGAATCCCGGCTATCAATTCTCCAGTTTTCTTTTTGTTTACTGATAAACTTTTTTTCTGAATAGTTTTGTTCTCTATATTGCTGTTAACTTGAGTTGTTCTTTTCTCTTTGAAATTGTCACCTATATTGTTTTTCGTCGCTTTTTTCCTGCGTTGTTTATAATCGTGGTTAACCATTCCCCCATGTATTATTTTTATCGCTATTCAAAACTATCTCCAGCAATATTTCCATTTATTGTTAAACATTATACTATTTATTTTCATCAATGTTAAACTCTCTCCTGTACATTTTTTAAGCTTCTCGAAAATTTAGAGGAGCATAGAAAATTTTCGGGAGAACATAAAGTCTTCTCTGTATCCGTCCGTCTTTCCATCCGACCTTTCGTGTCCGCTGCATAACTTTACCCACAGTAAAGCAAGGATCATGAAATTTGGTGTATACATTGGTCACAATAAGTCGATGTGTCGTGTACCGAATTCATGGCCCTTACGTTATTTCCCTTTGTTAAAATTATGTGTCTAGTGCATAACTTTGCTTGCATTGAAGTTAGGATTATGAAACTTTATGTATATATTGACTATACGAAGACAATGTGCAGTGTATCAATGTTAGGGCCTGCAACAGAGTTATTGCCCTTAGTTTAGATTTTGTGTCGGGGAACTACTCAGTGTGCATTTAAATAAACAATGATATCGAAATGTAACATATACATCACTTATACTAAAAACAAGGGGAAGTGAAGAAATGTGAAGACCCATGACCCTTAGCTAGAGTTATTGCATTTCTTTAATTTATGTGTCAGGATCATAGCTTTGCATGCATGAAAAACTTGATAATAAAACTTGGTGTACACATTTGTCATATTACGCAAATGTACAGTATACCGAATTCAGAGCCTGCAAACCCTTAATTACAAATACTTTTTCTACTTTTTTAAATTTCGTACCCAATTTAATGGTTTTCGGGAAGCATTCAACTGTTTCACTGATTCTCTTGTTTTTTTTCCTCTATAGTTCCCGTTTCTTAGTTGAACTCTCTCCTTTATAGTTATCAACACTATTTAATTTTTTTGTTTGATATTAGGTTTATCACTGTAAAGATTTATCGTGTTTTAATGGTTTTTTTTAGATATTCATTGTTACATATTCTACAGATTTGTTCTTTTATCACTGTTAAACTGTATTTCATATAGTTTTATTTTCATTATTATCTTTTTTAAATTTATCACTGCCGGTAAACTTTCTCGTGAATAGTTTTATTTTCATTGTTAAACTATCTTCTGTATAATTGTTGTCACTATTAAACTTTTTTTCCTGTGTAATTATTATCGCTCTTAAAATTTCACTTGTTTGGTCACTTCTGTTCAATGTGCTTTTATATAGATTTATATAACTGTTCAGCGTTCTCCTGTATTGTTTTATCACTGTTTAATGGTCTCCTTCAGTTTATATCGTTGTAAGACTTTCCACTTTATTGTTCTAATTGCTGTTTCACACACTGTTGTTTCAGATATTGACGAGTGTGCAGTTAATAGCGACACCTGCTCCCAAAACTGTAAAAATCAGGAAGGCAGTTACTATTGCCAGTGTTTTGAAGGCTTTACGTTACAAGATGACCGACGCACATGCGTAAAAGGTAAAAAACATATCTTGCATTTTAATTTATATTTAACATTTTATTGCTTTTGATATAACAGAAATTAATCTTATTGCCATCGTCTATATCTATATCACCTTACCGAATGCTATCAAAAAGGCAGGCATATGTGGTAAGATTTAAAACTTCATTTTCGAGTAGGAAATATTATTGAGAAGATTTTTATTACAGGAGTATTACTTGTTGAGTTCTGATGTTTAAACTGTACTGATATCAAGCCGTTCGTGTGCCGAGGATGTAGGCACAAATAACAGTACATGTGACGTGCGAGCGTGTTCCAGAAATTACATAATTGTATGCTTTAATGCATACGAAATTAATTGATTTTCAGACACCGATATTTAGCCATTTGGATGCAATCTCTTTTCAAGCTAGACTTTGTTAATTGATTATCACGGCACCCGTTAGTTAAAATATGGGATTTCATCGGACAAGTCGATATTATAGAACCTTCATTGATGTGCGATTCACATGTTAACTACAGTTTGAAAATGATTAAGCATAGAACAGTATAATCGTTTAATATATTCTTTCTTATTGTTTCCTGTAGTAAGAGACCCATGTATATCCATCGCCACTGCCAATTGTTCTTATGGCTGTCTCGTGGTAAATGAACAAGCTGTGTGTTATTGTGACAGTGGAAGTGAACTGGCTGCGGATTTGAAAACGTGTAACGGTGAGGACAACCTATAACATACAATTCTTTGTCTTGTCTGTTTTCTATGATGTCTTCCCATAGACTGTTGTACTGTTTCTTTTTCTTCATTTGCTGTCTTCGTCCTTGTATTCTCCTTTTTTCGTTCCCTATATATATACTCAACAAAAAAAGAAAGGTTAACACGTTTCCTTGGCGAATACCTGTAAATGAGTGAAAACAAAATTACTTTAGTGCAATATTAGAAAATGGTAATGTTTACATTACAAAATCCAAGGAGGTTACCAAAATAATTCAAGCATGAAAGTCTGTATAAGCGAAAGAGCTGCACGAGGTTTTCTGCGACTAACTTTTATCTTCGCTTGAATTTCATAAACACTCAAACTGACAACTGTTCCTGAGATCCTTAGGACTTAGAAATCACAGAATCTTTCTATCTATCAACTTTATCATTATGCCACGGCTGTCACAAGTACAGAGAGAAAGGGCTGTGGGCATGATCCAGGCTGGGGAGTCTCGCCGTCGAGTTGCACGGCATTTCAGTTGCAGTGTTAAGACAATTTGGCAGTTGGTAAGTCGTTTAAACCAAACTTGGTCAACATCCGATCGTCCCCGATGCGGCCGACCCTGTAAAACGACCGCCAGGGATAACCGTCGTATACGATTGATACACTTGCGCAATAGATTCGTAACCGCAGTAGAGACTGCAAGGACATTGTTTGGGCGTCGTGTGTCTCCCCAAACAGTCCGCAACAGGTTGAGGGCCTACGAGTTGAAAGCGTGGCGTCCCTACACTGGACCCAATTTGTTGCGACGTCACCGTAATAATCGGCGTAACTGGACCCGTGTTCACCGTCGTTGGGCCTTACGACAATGGAGCAATGTTCTGTTTTCAGATGAGTCTAGGTTTTGTCTGCAACACTGTGATGGACGGAAGGCGCAGAGTGTCGAGGCGACGAGGGGAACGTTTTGCGAACTGTTGCGTCGCAGAACGAGACCGCTTTGGCGGCGGAAGTGTAATGATTTGAGGTGGTATTTGTGGGGGACTCGTACCAGGCTTGTTGTGTTAAATGGCAATTTAACCGGCATTCGATATCGGGACGAAATTTTAAGATCAGTGGTTCTGCCATTCTTAAGAAGCCATGACGTTGGCGCCATTTTTCAACAGGATAACGCACCAGCGCATACCAGTCGCGTCAGCAGAACTTTCTTGCTGCAGAATAACGTACAGGTGTTAGATTGGCCAACTAAATCACCTGATTTGTCACCGATTGAGCATGTCTGAGACGCGTGAGAGAACGTCAAAATCAGCCGTCAAACCGCCCAAGCCTTGATCGCTGAATGGAACAGCATCTCTCCTCGAATTATCCGCCGGTTTACGAGTTCCATGCGACGACACTGCAATGCTGTTTACTTCGCAAACGGTGGGCATACCCGTTACTAATGGTGTTACCTTTGCAATTGACCCCAACGTCCTTTACAGTCGAATAAAATCAACTGAACGTATAGTTTTATAATGAACCATGACTGCAGTTTTATCAGAATTGATCAATTACATTATTCGTACATGATTGGTAAGGATTTATGAAGGGGTTAATTTATTAAACACAGAATAAAGTAGTGTTACCTTTCTTTTTTTGTTTAATATATATTTTGAAACTTACATGTAGAATACAATTGTATGACACCAATTGCCATTTAACTGATAAATTTAGTCCAATCGTTTCTTTTCCAAGCTGGTATTGCTGAAAGAGAAGAGTCGCAATTCCATTTTTTAATGTTTAGGCGTTAATTGGCAATGTCAAACGATTTAGTTCGAAAGTGGCATTTAATTTTAGACTTACCTGTGTTCTTGCGCTAAACTATACCTATCTGCCGACTTTCAGGTATTCTAGATGTCATCTCACTAATAAATTAATTATCTGCTTCATGTTTACAAATCTTATCTTGCAGACATCAACGAGTGTGACAATGCCACGTTAAATCAATGTTCTGATCCGAGCTCTTGTCAAAACACTGCTCCAGGCTATACATGTTCCTGTCAAGATGGTTTTAAGCTGTCAAACGATCTACGAACATGCCAAGGTAACTTGTGATAAAATATGCATTTTGTACAAGCAGTATAGGGTATCGCTGAATCTGCTGTTTTATATTTAGAGAAAGGGGATGTTCTTTTTTACCTTTGTAGCAACCGGAGTCACTTGAAGTAGATGCACATTATGGAGGTAACAGTACACTAAAAAAGCAAAAGCTGGAGAGTTGGAGAGATAGACTGAAAAGTCGAGAAAACTACAAGTCCTAAATAATTTGGCAGACCTTTTGACTTTCTATGATGTCACTTAAACGATAGCAGACCGAATGACATATTCTATCGGCTGCTTCATAGTTGCCTATTTGAACTATAAGAACCCTTTGTGATAAAGAAAACAGCGGACACAAATGTATGTATATGTTGAAGTGTCTTTATTGTGAAATAATTCTTTTAAAAAAGAGGATGAAAAAAATATTCCGAAAGGAACTTCAACTCTAAATGAATATACATGTATACAATTTTGATATATGAACATACAACAACAAATAACGATAATTCTATCAAAATACATTACTCTTTACAAATGAATGGTTCATAAAGTCAATATTTAATTCGTTCAAATATCACACAGTAGAAATCTTGAGTTTTCTTGATATTCAACTTATGACAGAAATTTCAGAGTCGACACTCATAGGATATTTTTGTTTTACATGTAGTCATTAGTGACCCATACTTATATAAATTCTCATTATATTAGTTTCAAACTGTACGTTTTTAAGAAAATTCTCAAAGGCTTAATACTTATGTAAATTTATTATTTTCTCTGCAAGCTGTTCTAACACGATGAATGACTGAGTTGTAATATAAGTGACTGTATGGGTCTCTTGTCTGAAATTCAAAACTGTTCTAAAACAGTACCCTAGTAATATTACTTTTTTCGGAATAAGAAACAAAAGTCTGTTTTCTGAAGTTAATCTTCGAAAACTATATTCTACATTTAAGATTGTAAATAATAGTATATCATCAAATTATATAACATTTTCGTCATTTAACAAATAGACAAATCTAATAAATCTAATACGTTATTTTTCATTCGGCTGCTTTCAGCATGCGACGAATTTCATTGGGGACCTGGTTGTATCAATGACTGTAACTGTGGCCTTGGGGTGGATACATGTTCCAGCAAGAGTGGATGCGTGTGTAAAACAGGATGGGTCGGTGATACATGTGAAGGCGATATCAATGAATGCGATACAGGAACACCATGCAGTGGTGCAAATGAAGAATGCGTCAACTCACCGGGTTCATATCGCTGTCAGTGCAAGAGTGGCTTCACCAACAGTTCGGGATCTTGTGAAGGTAACAGATTATGATTAATTCAAACTTCAGTAAGATTTTATTGAACATGTTAAGTTCTGTTTGTCTTCCATCAAATAGCGCTTTAAAAAGCCTTAAATATCAAAGACTTTATTATGAGTTTTAAAAATATGGAACTTGTATTTTCTGAGATATTATTAAATACTAACACTGCACTGGACATCTATCTTTGGGAGATTTTATTTTAGTTATACCTAATATGACGGGACTACTTCCTATTAGTTAAACATAATGAGATATTGTTCTCTTCAGATATCAATGAATGCATAGCAGGGACTGCTGGTTGTTCCCAATTATGTAACAATACTGTCGGAAGCTACGTATGCAGTTGTGGCAATGGCTTCTCCCTCCAAAATGACGGTAAAGGATGCGAAGGTATGATGCATTTCTTTTTTATGATTGCCAACACTCGCATAAGGATCACATATTATCAAGATTTCAATTTTAAAAATCGTTTTTTTTATTCTCATGGATATTTATAAAGCATGAAATTAGAATGACTGATATTGAAAAACAGTTATCTCTCAAAATCGTCTAAACTAGAAAAAAAGACCACAGAAAAAAAACCTCACAGCGAAAGAAGAATATGACCGCGTGTTCCACAAATTTAATCGTCTTTTGCTTCAGTATATTTGTTTTTAAATGATACATGTGTTAAAATCTCAAAAGTATTTCTTTTCAACAAAAAGGTATAGGTCGAGTTTGGTCTCAACGGTACTTATAATCGAATATATTTGTTTAAGTGAGATACAACTGAGAAACAGTATTTTGTTTAAGGATCTTCCCTCGGGGAAATGAGCTGATGTAGTGTGGTCAAGGGCACTACATTACTTAAAAGAACAAGTACACTCTTTATATAGTAAAATCAATCGAAAAATTCTGTTTATGCTAAGAATAAAAATCAAATAAGACAGTCAAATACAAATATCATATTCTGATAGTTGAATGCCTGACAGTGCCACATACTATTTGCGGAAGATTATGCTGGTGTTTCTATGGGCTTTGTGATTTACACAAGAGGGAATCAGTTGACAAATAAAATAAAATATGTTTAGGAGAATACAGACGTTCAAACAAATGTATAATTCAAGTTCCATGTCACGAACTAATGAACTTGATTATCCATTCCCAATCTTAAATATCTTTTTACCTTTTCTTGGTTTTCTTTTTTAAAATGTCACCATAATATCATATGTTTGCCATCGTATTTTCGTGTCGGTATAATCTTGCTATCTTAATATCATGAAAAGGCTTGTTCTCTTTGTAGACATCGATGAATGCACCACCGGAAAGTCACAATGTGGCCAGAAATGTCTTAATAACATAGGAAGCTACAGATGTTCTTGTACACCTGGCTACATCCTCGACCCTGAGTTTAGAAAACTCTGCACTCGTAAGTTGTCAAAGAGTTAGCATAATGTTGTCCATTGATAGAAAAATGATAGATACCTCTTAAACATATTGTAAAATTAATACACATGCAGAAAGTGTGTTTGAATATTTCACAGAATTTTTTTCTGGTGTAAGCAATATAACACACAAAAACTTCACACAAATGCAATCTGGTTGGGAATGTGTAATATTAATTAAGCAAATACGTGTACTTACCAACCAAAAGAAAATGTTCCATAACATGGGTACTCTGCCGAATAGTTGCACAGGCCAAATGTACCCATATGCTTTATGATCTCTCAAACAAATGAAATTTGGGACATTTATAGAATAATGGAGCTAGCGCTTCTCTTCATCTATATATTAACATTTCTTTCGTTTTCCTCAGCTCCTATCTTAATTCCCAAATTGAACCCCTTGTAATTACTGACAAGTGCTAGAAGGACAAAATAGCTCTATGATACAGTTTGGGTCTACTGTATCTAAATCTAAAAATGTATTGAAAGAGTATGCTAACTTATTATTGTTATTTTGTACAATGTTTTCTATGTGAAACCTGCTGTAGCGTGTGTCATGGTAGAGACAAAATTGATTATGGCATAAAACATGAAACGAATTTGTTACTACAGCAAGAGAAAACTGTACCGCCAATGCGACGTGTACTCAGATCTGTGCCGTGGTCAACGGAACAGACGTCTGCTCATGTGAAAATGGCTACGAACTTAAAGACAACTTCAACTGCACTAGTAAGTCTTGCTTTGTTTACTTTTATTTACTTCTGGTTATTTAACGAAAATTCCTTTTATAATTATATATGCATATGTTACGATGCAAGCTGACTTTCACTTATCATAGTGTGTGGTTTTGGAATTTTACGTAATGAAATGAATTTCTATGAGATATTAAATTGTGAATCTTTGGCATTACATAATGTCTTTGATAAAAAACGTTTGGTTTATTTTTTGAATGCATTAAAAGAAAGATAATTGGAAACACACGGATGTTTATAAATCGAAATTGCTTTACCAACCTCTGAAATTAGTAGAACTTAAGTATGTCTGTCATTTACCCTGGACGATTAAATTGATAATCTAAAATTTACTGGACATGTACATAAAAGGAAGTCAACTAAATTGTTTTCGTTTTATTTAGTCTTTACTTCTACTCATAAAAACGTGCATACCTAGGTAAATTTGAAAACTATAAATCGATAATCTCTTTTCAGATATCGATGAATGCAGTGTTTCAAAACCTTGCCAGCAAAACTGTAATGACACGACCCCTGGTTACACCTGTTCATGTAACGATGGATACAAACTGGACGTTGACGAAGTATCCTGCACTGGTAAATTTAATTATTGCAACAATTCCTCAAGTAAACAAAACGGAAGATAACATTCGTTTAGAATATCTCAGTCAGGGTTGTTCCAATCATGAACCCATATGGTGTCTCTCCGGGTATTATGTGGTGTTGACATACCTCTTTTAATACCAATACAATCTAGAAAACTTCGGTATAATTTTTTGTCTTCGTTGTGAAATTCATTGTGATACAAACAGATATATTTAATTAAAGCATCGTTCCCAACTCCTTTGGGAAGGTTTACTTATATCGGAGTTTTACGCATATTGTTTTCAACACAATTTTAACAATGCAGCCGTTAATGTTTTATGTGTATGTTTTGATTGAAATTGAATATTCATCTTTTTTTATTTCTATTATTGTTATTGATAGTGACATACTCTGTTACCATCGACGTCCGGTTGACATAATTGTTTTTTCGTAAATTTCTCTCACATAACGTTGATTTTTTTCATACCTTGACATTACACTTAGGATATGAAAAAAATGGTAAAACAGAGCAATGACAACTTTAAACAGTTTCTGAAACTTCTTGTTTATAACCCTATTAATTACTTACATTTGTAAGTATAATTTGTTTAGAAGGCACAGTTAGACATTTACTTTTAATCACCATTACTTTTCTTTAGAATGTACCGAAGGAACATATGGAAAAGAATGTGCAACTCGGTGCTCATGTATTACTACTAATGACAACACAAACAGTTGTAACAAGGTCAATGGTACATGTACGTGCAACAGTGGCTGGAAAGGATCCAACTGTGAAACAAACATCAACGAATGTGACAACCCATCAATTTGCCCTGCTTTCTCGGATTGTCAAGACACAAATGGAAGCTATATATGTAACTGCCATCCTGGCTACGTGTTGGACGCATCAGGCACTTGTGTTGGTATGTGATTAAGGAAATAATAAATATTGTAGCACAATCGTTTTTCATAATGTTCAAAATCATGTTTATTACACAAAAATATCACAAGTGCGCAAATATACTAGCGGAAAAAGAAACTGCATGTGTAAAATGTTCATGTATATTCTTAATTAAAGCTTGAAACTTTACACAAGTAAGTTGTGTATGCCTTCTCGTCATTTAGACTTGTCAGTGTACGTTCTTTTTCGGCCAGCACTCAATTGCAAACACGTTTGTAGCCTAAACCTATTTAAAAACATAGTGTAAATTAACAAAGCCAGCGTAAGGATGGAAAAGTCTTTGAAACGTTATACCAGGTTGAAGAAATGAAAGAGATGCATTGGGAGAGTGAGTCCCTCTACGTCTATGACGACTATACCACCTGTTCTCCAACAATATGATCGTGTAGCACATTTAGCCTGGTGTAGACAACACATATATTTCACGCAGCAGGACTGGGCACGTGGTCTTCTCATGGATGAATCCAGGTTTCCTCTCGGCAGCAGCGACGGTCGTTCTATAGTGTAGCATCGAGTTGGTGAACGTTTCCATGACAGTTATGTGATTCAACTCGGTGGAGGGAATGTCATGGTGGGGGTCTCATTCCGTGGCAAAACAGGTGTTGCGGTTTTGGACGGCACACCTACAGGCATAAGATACCGTGACGAAATCATCAGGCCTCACGTCCTTCCATTTGTGCAGCAATATGACGTCATGGTACAACAGGATAGTGCTCGTCCGCACGTCGCGCGGGCCGCCACTGTCTTCTATGACAGTTTTATAGAACACGTGTAGGATGAGATACAGCGTCGCTTACGCCGCCTCCAAAATCAGCCGTTGACGCTACCTGTTGGTGTCTTATATACCTCCTTACTTTTAGCGTAGTACACCCATGCACAGTTTCTTTCATCCGCTAGTGTATATCCACTGGCTCACATTTAAAAATGCCATTTAGATACCAATCAACATTTATCTAAACGTTTCTGCTACTAATAGCTATTGTTATAATCGAGCAAATTTAATATTTAACTCTACAGTTTAATATCGCATTCACTTTTTTACATGCTAGAACTTTAATTTACGAAGAAGAAAAATATACGTTACATCTGACGAATATAATTACTGTAAAACACATAAAATCAAATCTCTGTAATGTTTTATATGTAAATTTAGATATACAATTGGTTTCCTTCCAGTTTGTGACAAGCGGTCATTTGGAATACAATGCCAAAGTCCATGTACCTGTGTGTTTGACAATACCATATCCTGTAACCACACCAATGGTAATTGTACTTGTTCTCCTGGCTGGAGAGGTGACAACTGTGATCTTGACATCAACGAATGTAACGTAGACCCTAATGTATGTGGTGCAAATGCAAACTGCACAGATACACCTGGGTCATACTCGTGTACATGTAACAACGGTTATGCTAAGGATGAGAGCGGCATATGTCAGAGTAAGTGATACAATATCAAAACTTTTTGTTCTTCGTGGACATTTAAATAGAAATGATGTTGATCAATTAATTAATTTGTCTCGGTTTTCCTTCAGAGTATATGAAATGTCGTTTTTGGCGGAACAATAAAAAGAAGATATAACAAGCATTCAAAATTGTATTGAAACGTGCTATCAGAATGCGTATCGTTTACTAAACCTGTCATGCGTAATCAAAATTATAATTCGAAATCAAAACAGCTTATATGTTCATGAAAATAAAATTTTATTTAAAAATATAGAAAAATTATGGATTATTGTTATCAATACTTAAATGATACGTTTCAATGCTTTACCAGAGGATGAAGGTTATAATCTTAAACCACTTTCTAATTTTTCAAATTTTTCAGACATAGACGAATGTACCAGAGGTGACGATAACTGTATAGCAGAAGCAGACTGTATCGACACTCCCGGAAGTTTCAATTGTACATGTAAAATAGGTTACTCTGGAGATGGGTCAGTTTGCAACGGTAAGACTCTTCAGTATAAAGAACCATGGCAATATATGTAATTTAGTAAAAGACCAAAATAAAACTGAATCGCACATTTGATGGGTTGCATTGTTCCAACATCAACAATTTGACGCTGATAATAACTTAAGTTAATGAATTTCATTCATGTTAATGCAGCTTGCACTGGATTTACGTATGGCACCCAGTGTGGAAGCCCGTGTGGCTGTAACCAAACAAACTCGCTGAACTGTAACACACGAACTGGAACATGTAACTGCAAAACTGGATGGACAGGAGACAGCTGCACAGTTGACATTAATGAGTGTAATAGTACAGTAACCCCTGCTAACTGTGCTGCGGAAGCTGACTGCCAGAACATTGACGGATCTTTCACTTGTGAATGTAGAGTTGGCTACAGTGGCGATGGGATAACATGCACAGGTAAGGCATTTGGATGGTCTTGTTATTCATCAAAGAACTATTGATGGTATCTGCCATGATAGTTAAGAGAACTACTGTATTGTAAACGATATTTGGTTGATACACAAGTTTCCAAATCAGGACAATTTAACGTTTTCCTGCACTTTAAGATATAAAAAAACTTGCATAAAATGTAGAATTAGTATATTATTATCTATTTTGGTCGAGGAAATTTGAATGGTTCTGAAGCAAACTACGTTCAGAATCATCTGTAATTATCTGGAATGGGAATATACGTACATCGCTGATTTGTTTGAAAAGAAACGCAAAACACCGGTCTGCTGTTCAAACGCGAACGGCCAGTTAAGATATATTTTAATTAACAACGAAATATCACATTTCCTGCTGACGGTACATCCAGAATCGCGACCGAACTAGAATGTGATGGTACTGAAGTTGGTATATTTTCTTTGGTGTTGCCAGCAGATTGAGATATCTATCTACATTGCAGCAATATAGTATACCTCTGAAAATCGACCTGTGAGGAAAACAAAGCGCAACGGGCAACCATATCTTTACATTAGTATCATTTGGTTTCATAATACTCGTTACCGAATCATCCTTCAGACTTTCAGACAAGCTACCTTAACAATTACTATATTTAAGCTTAGCATTTGTTGGTTCTTACGGCAACGTCAAGCTAGATAGAATAACATATGAAGGGTTCACATGACGTTGACGGCACTATTTAGAGCTATGAAAGTATGGGAGTATGGAAGAAACTATATATGAAGAATGTGGCAAACATACCTTCTGTTTTGAAATCAAGACGTATTTCAGACGTAACATTTCAATTCGGTTTGTTATCCGAGTTTGTTTCCCTTAATCATTTACTGTTGTTTTGGAAGCTGTAATCTCACATCCTTATCATCACTGTTACAACAGGAAACACTGAAATGCACATAAGGGTTAAATACTTTTAACTTTTAAATACTGTTTAAATACGTCAGTTTACATGTATATGTAAGTTTGGTACGTTGGTTGTATCATAATTAATGTCAATTTTAACTGAAGATAAATTATATCGTGGATATATGAGTTCGTGAAAAGATCACGAAAATTGATATTTTTTGGACTACATGTAGCTTCAGAGGAAAGCAATTCGTCTGATTTATTCTTCATTAGCATAAGGCTACTGGGGATAACTTATTCCAGTGCATTAGAAAATACTGACGAGATCATTACGAAATATAGGGAAATACACTACCGAATGATACAAAACAATATGATATACTAACCATTGTAACTCAACAGCTTATAACAATGATACATATCTTTTGTGGTTACAAAGACCTGTAGTTAACTGTTATTTATAGTTTCCTATCATCTTTTCGGTGTGCTTGCTTACTATCTTTTTGCAACGCTCTTGTTTCTGCTTCGTAAATACATTAATTCATTGTTCGCATGTTTTCTTACTTGCCTTTTTAGATTGTATAATTAGATGCTCACATTTTCTCTGTATAGCATGTCCTGCTTTCCTATACGGCACAAATTGTTCATCTGATTGTGCATGTGACCAGACCAACACAGCCTCTTGTGATCCTGTGACGGGTACATGCACGTGTAACGCTGGATGGACCGGCGCCTCATGTTCCTCTGATATAAATGAGTGTACAAGTAATTCAGTACAACACAATTGTTCGTCAGTTACATCGACTTGTAAAAATACTGACGGGGGTTTTGTCTGTATCTGTAACGATGGTCACTATACTACTGACGGATATGAGTGTCAAGGTAAAACGTGTTTAATTTCTCCTGTCATTTTTATCGAGTTGCAGATAAACTTTTTACCCATCAAATTATGTTATTCTATTGGTTTCATTTCATACCTTCTTCGTTATGAATTTGTGGTCTCCCCCATAACCTTTAATTACAAGACCATATTTCCTCCGTAAAATATTGAAACCACGAACTACAGAGACGACTTCATAGATTGCTCTTTGCAAAGAGGATCTTAATTTGTCGGAAAGTTACTGCGCGATCTGTACAAGTCAGGTCTTTCCTAAGATAGAGATAAAGCGTCTTTACTCACAGAAATCAAACGGTATCGATTTGCTATGATGATAAATGAAATATCGTTCTTTTGTACTTGTCCTTCAAGTCGACCATCAAAAATTTCAGTTCATGGGATCCCGGAGATGTTTAACGAGTCACTCAGTCATTGCACATTTGGACTTCTAGAAAAAAATTATCTTAAATATTTTCTCCTTAATTTATCTTTTCTACATTGCAGTATATCACTTAACTGTATATGTCCACTTATTTTTTAGATAATTTTTTTACTTCTTAAAACTAACAACATATTGGAGTTTTTTTTATCTAATTTTGCTCTGTTTTTGCAAAATATGCAACAATGCCTTGTTAAGTTGTTTGCTTGCTTTTCATTCAAATTAGTATTCTTTTTACTGTTCTTGCTTTATGTTTATGATAAGCAGCTTGATTTTACTATATATAGCATGTCCTGCTTTCCAATACGGCACGAACTGTTCATCTGATTGTGCATGTGACCAGACCAACACAGCCTCTTGTGATCCTGTGACGGGTACATGCACGTGTAACCCTGGATGGACCGGCGCCACATGCTCCTCTGATATAAATGAGTGTACAAGTAATTCAGTACAACACAATTGTTCGTCAGTTACATCGACCTGTCAAAATACTGACGGGGGTTTTGTCTGTATCTGTAACGATGGTCACTATACTACTGACGGATATGAGTGTCAAGGTAGATATGTGTGATTTGTCCTTACTGTTTCAGATTGTTTGTTTCTTGAACATAAAAATATTATACCCTTTCGAATTCCCTTATTTAATCCTAGTGTCGATTCATAGCATGATTTCATCTGCTGAGATTTTCGTGGCCATCACGCAAGGTTAACGATTAAAGGTCACATTTAGCCAGTTAAAAATCTTCGATGAAGATGATCTTATTTGAATTGGCCATTAGGGATCAACTGTCAAACGTGCCAATTTTCAAAACAAAAAGACAAGGGCGTTGTGGACTAAATCTATGCGAGTCCCCTGTTTTTTTATCGTTTTTATGTAGAGATACAGAGAAGCAGTTCATTATAGAAAACAAACAAGGATTGTTAGGCTGATAAAAAGATATCGTTCCTTCGCACGTCGTCTAGAAATCGGCCCTCAAACTTAACAGGTAGTCACTTATCTATTTAATTATCTAGGATAATTGCACTAGGAAAATTGTTATTAATACAATTTTGTTGAATGTTTTACACCGAGTATGTCAAAATATTAACTTATACTTGAAGGGTATCTTCTCTTGTCTTATGCAAACAACATAGTTTCACGTATCAGTTTGCTTGATAATGAAGCCGAATCCTGTTGCTTTATTTTATTCCTGTTTTGCTTCTTTAAAAATGTACTCAAGTTCTAGTAATTACTAACTACGCATTTGTAGTATGCTTGCCTTTTAGATCGCTTTCTTGCTTACATACTTGCATTCAAATAAGTATGTTTTTATTCTTGCTGCTTTTGCAATGTATAGTAAGCGATTAATGTTTTCTCTGTATAGCATGTCCTGCTTTCCAATACGGCACGAACTGTTCATCCTATTGTACATGTGACCAGACCAACACAGCCTCTTGTGATCCTGTGACGGGTACATGTACATGTAACGCTGGATGGACCGGCGCCACATGCTCCTCTGATATAAATGAGTGTACAAGTAATTCAGTACAACACAATTGTTCGTCAGTTACATCGACCTGTCAAAATACTGACGGGGGTTTTGTCTGTATCTGTAACGATGGTCACTATACCACTGATGGATATATATGCCAAGGTAAATCATATGACTTATCCTATACTTTTTGTACTTTTGGTCAGATAAATTTCAGTCTGAATGTAACCAAATTATTTCTTTATTATTGAAATTCTGAATTCCGCTTTTTAATACTAGGGTCGTTACTCCCCTTATCTCAATGAAGCATATCATCACATTGAAGGAAATAAATAATTGTCATTATATAGGTATTGTCAGCTACAGATTGATCATGTCATTAGACTCCGTTGAATAGATGTTCAGTAATCAATTTGAGCCTCCGTCATTGTTCGCGTAGTTCGTATTTTACACACGTTTGGTGTACCAATTTATTACACGAGTCATTCAACAGATTTAATTTGTATTTATACTTTACACAACTACGGCATAATCTACATCTATTGTTATAGTTGGGTAGGTGATTATCAGTCAAGTGTAAAAAGTTATGGTCACACTTGGTCATTCGATAAACAAAATGTCTTTTTGTGCAAAATTCCTCATGAACACAGATCGATTCTTATTTGCTTTTCATGGAACTACGTTACCCTATGATATCGGGGTATATTTAGTCGTCAACAACCAAAGCCTACACTTGACTATTTTCGAATAAAAACGATTAGGGCGTTGTGGAACAAATTGATGTTAGTCACCATTAACTTATTTTATTTCTTTCAGAGATAATAATGTGTTGTGTAGATTAGTTTTTATTAATTTATTTTTCTTTCATTGTAGTACTTTGTATATCAATAAACCTCATGCTTACTCACACTTTAGATTAAATATTGGAGTATATGTTTCTCTCTTTTTGTACTGCATAAACACGCTCAAGCTCATTAATTTTCAGTTTGCTTGTTTGATATAATGCAAAAATAAACTAGCTTGCTTTAATTACTTCCTTGCTTTACTGTGTACTTAATTTAACATTAGTATGCTGTTGTTACTAGCTTGCTAGACTGTATTCAGAGCATGACTTTTTCTCTGTATAGCATGTCCTGCTTTCCAATACGGCACGAACTGTTCATCCAATTGTGAATGTGATCAGACTAACACAGCCACCTGTGATCCTGTGACGGGTACATGCACATGTAACCCTGGATGGACCGGCGCCACATGCTCCTCTGATATAAATGAGTGTACAAGTAATTCAGTACAACACAATTGTTCGTCAGTTACATCAACCTGTCAAAATACTGACGGGGGTTTTGTCTGTGTCTGTAGGGAAGGCTTCTTTGCCACTGACAGATATGTTTGTCAAGGTAATCACATAATATCACCCTTGTGTCTCTTTCAATGCACTAATACATTCATTCAAAATATCTTTTTGAACTTTGAGATGATATGAATCAGTGTTACCTTTATGATAGTTTCTCCCTTACTGATAATAGATTTCAGTGTCTTTCTATACTATTCAAATGACCGTCTATGTCATTCAGTGATTTGATAGAATAATATTTCAGCATTTATGGGTTCAATTATATACCACACCCTTAAGAAATAAAATGCACCTTTTAATCAGTCACAAATGCAATACAAATAAATTTAAGTCCAGTGTTCGGTGTGTGAAGACACATGTTTGGATAAGGTATGTGTTATATAATTTTGAATACAGATTTGGATAAGGTGTGTGATATATAATCATGAAGACACAGGTTTAGATAAGGTGTGTGGTATATACCTGTGAAGACACAGGTTTAGATAAGGTGTGTGGTATATAACTGTAAAGACACAGGTTAAGATAAGGTGTGTGATATATAATCATGAAGACACAGGTTTAGATAAGTTGTGTGATATATAACCGTGACGACGCAACCGAGCATATAACTGAATCTGGGAAATTGTCTAAAATTCAAGTAAATTATTTCTAGCTTGTTTTTTAAAGTGGTTAAACTGTTGATATCCTTAAACTTATGAGGTAAAATAGTCTAATCTTTGATACTGGATGTAAGAAAGTGGTACTAGTAAAACACGTTATAATGTTTTTTGGCACTAAAAGGTTGTTATCACAGGTATATCTTTTCTATGTGACTACTTCTTACTAAAGATACACGGCTGAATAAGTAGTCAAGGACTTCTTCATGAAAACATTTAAAATCATAAATAGCCTTCTAAATTTAAAATATTTATCGGTTAACATTCCATCGTAATATTTCAAACATGTCTTAGGAAGGCATATGAAATGCTACATTAGGTATTATTCTACACAGTACTACAATAAATAAAGTATGGGAACATACAAGCCTTCCAAAATCTTAATAGTCCTTCCACGCAACAGGCCTAATCTTTGTCATATTTTGCCCAAAATAGATGAAATATGATCTGGTCATATCAAAGAATTATCAATAGCAACACAAAATAATTTATTCCTTACAATCTTTTTCAGAGATTCACTAAACAAGATAATATCTAAAGTTAAACAGTTTTTACCTTGTTTCTGTTTCGAAACTATACACTTTTTCTTTCTTTTTTCATTTACAATCACCTTATTTTCAACACATGCATGAACATTGTTTAAATAAGTTTGTATTTTGCATCTGATATTACTTACTGATTTGCAAGTAGCAAATAAAGTAGAGTTGTCTATATATATCTATATCAGCCTTCACATTTAATGACAGAACGTTTATGAAAGCTAAAAAACATCATAGGACCTAATAAAGATCCTTGCGGGTCACCATGAGAAACTTTACATGTATTTGACATGTGACCAGCCATGGAAACTAAATAGGTCCTATTGTCAAAATAAAACTGGAACAATAAGGAATTCTTGTGAATTTTGTAAGGAGGGTTTCTCAAGGAAAAAAAAGAGCATGTTTCTCTAAAAATTTGGAGAGGATAGGTAAGACCGATATTGGTCTATGATTTTCAATATCAGACTATTTTCATTTTCATGAAGATGGTAATTTGTGTCGCTTTTTGTTGTGTATGGAATTTACCTGTCTGTAAACTAACATTCATTATGTAGGTAAGAGATAGTGCTATTTCAGTGAGAGCAATTTTCAACAGTTTAGTACTAATAAGACTGATCCGAACTTGCGTATCCTCAGCGTTACTGGGATGCATATTGTGATATTTGACATTGTTGTCTTAGATAGGTTAAAACACTGATGATTTTATAGCTGTCTAAAGTACAGGGGAAAACAAATAGGGTAATATTCTTTTTAGAAAAATTATTTTTCAACATTAGAAAATATCATTTCTTTCCTGAACTATTTAAAACAATAATGCCTTTGAGGAGACTTCAGATTATATTTTTGAAATATTTACATTTTCTATTTACAGAATGTCCTGCATTCGAATATGGCACGAACTGTTCTTCGGCCTGTACGTGCGTTACTGCGAATACTGAGAGCTGTGACAGAGTCACCGGTACTTGTGCATGTAAAACCGGATGGAATGATACAAATTGCGATAACAATATAAATGAGTGTCTAGATCTCTCGCTCAACAACTGTACCTCATTGCAGAGGTGTGTCGACACCAACGGTTCATTTGAATGCCTATGCTTACACGGAACATTGAGCTCAGGAACATGTCTGGGTATGTATCAGCAATGTCCAGTATTTCATATGTGTATGTATCAGCAATGTCCAGTATTTCATATGTGTATGTATCAGCAATGTTCAGTATTTCATATGTGTATGTATCAGCAATGTCCAGTATTTCATATGTGTATGTATCAGCAATGTCCAGTATTTCATACATGCCAAAATCTAAGAAAACTTTTTCTAAAATGTTTGGTATTACGTACAGAGGAAACGTTGTCAAATTGATGGTTGATTTGTTTTCGTTAATACACAATTCTCTAATTATTTGTGTATTAAGTTTAAGGAAACATCTCTCTCTTAATGGAGCTGATTTATTTGAATGTGCAGTATGAATATGCGTATATGTTACATGTATATTGTCTAGGTATGTGCCAAGGTTATTGTTATAATAGTATTATAAGCACTGAGCGAGTTCGTATTTCTTTTCAAAAACATGTTTGGTAATACCATTACAAGATAACTGGAGTATCATATGTATTACTTTAAAGGGATTAAATGGTTAGATTTGGTCATTTTTCTCGTACGTTTGATTTCGAGCAAGTATTGTAATACTTACAATTGAATTCTTCACAAAACTTTAACACTCTCTGAGAGAAATTGATATCAGCATCAAACAAACGGTAGTCGGCACTCGCTGTTTTGATCATCACATTACCTTTCGGAGCCTCGTTTCAAACCGCCGTTTTGATATGATTTCTTACCATGTATATTGATGTTATTAACCAAAACTTAGTCTGTCAGTCATGTTTCAATTCTTACTTTGTAAAATGACCTATTGTTTCACTCTATACGCGTGATAGAGCGAAATAGATTAATTTGAATAAATATGATTCTAAACTCGCATGCCCATTCTTTACATTCTCCGAATGATAGTGATGTGAATTATTGCTAGGTCGCTCCCATTTCGCAAACTTTTAAAATATCGTAATTAACAAAGGTACATAATTTTTAACAGATATTCAAATGTTATAATGGTTTCTATCAGTTGTGAAATTCATATCTAACCATTTAGTCACTTTAATACCATATTAAAATCTGGCATAAGTTTTAAACATGTATGTTCCATTTCATACCGGTACCAATAATCAAATTCGTAGACGTCAAGTTAGATAATAATTTAAAGTAAAGAATATACTTATGAACTGCAGAGTAATGTTCAATAAAGTGTGTTAATGCCTGATAACCAGTTATCTATACAGTTACACTACGTACAGTTTATTAATAGATGTCATTTGATTTTCAGAACCAACAACAACATTAGCTCCAAGTAAGTATAAAGCACTGTCAATGTCTATATTCATAAGTCTGGTATGCGTTTAATGTACGCGAAAGTTAATTCGATGTCATTTAATGAAATCAGGTCGGTTGTTAAAAAGCTTCAATGCTGGATAGTTGAACACATGTACAGCGAAGGATAATAATGGATGTCACTTACTGAAAATGTTAATGATATATCAAATATTAACCATATACTTGAGAATGATGTATCCATGTCTTATTTTCAAAATAAAAACGCAGAGAAAGAATACTACCTAGCTCTGAAAAAGAAAACTACATTGCTATGGAAAAGAATATTACATAGCACTAAAAATGATACAGTATAGCTCTGGAAAGAATACTTCATAGCTCTTAAAAGAAGATTACATAGTTGTGAAAAAAAATATCACATAGTTCTGATAAAGAATCCAACGTACTCTAAATTACAAATATTTGAATCATTATATTCCAGGTTCTACACAATTCCTGATCTACTTAGTATTTACTCTGGAAGTGAACATATCCAGCGACGTGGACTTAACAAATCCAGGAGATCAGGGCTATATCAATTTTGTCAGCAATGTTACAGTTGCTGTAAGTTGTTTTATAGCAATAGGACATCTAGTTATTTTCATCTGTAGACTGTAAAAATAACATGCTTTTATAACCTAATATGACAAGTAAAAATTTACTTTAATAATTATATGTTACAATGGGCATATGAGTATATATGGCACCTAGTAATTAAGCTTTATAAATATTTGTGACAACTAGAATGTGTAAGTGATTAACATCTGTAGAAACATAACGAATGCTGCAAGTAATTAACCCCTGTAGAAACATGACGAATGCTGTAAGTAATCAACATCAGTAGAAACATGACGAATGCTGTAAGTAATCAACATCAGTAGAAACATGACGAATGCTGTAAGTAATCAACATCAGTAGAAACATGACGAATGCTGTAAGTAATCAACATCAGTAGAAACATGACGAATGCTGTAAGTAATCAACATCAGTAGAAACATGACGAATGCTGTAAGTAATCAACATCAGTAGAAACATGACGAATGCTGTAAGTAATCAACATCAGTAGAAACATGACGAATGCTGTAAGTAATCAACATCAGTAGAAACATGACGAATGCTGTAAGTAATCAACATCAGTAAAAACATGACGAATGCTGTAAGTAGTCAACATCAGTAAAAACATGACGAATGCTGTAAGTAGTCAACATCAGTAAAAACATGACGAATGCTGTAAGTAATCAACATCAGTAGAAACATGACGAATGCTGTAAGTAATCAACATCAGTAGAAACATGACGAATGCTGTAATTAGCCTCTAATGCATTGACCGGCTGCCTCCAGATGTTTGATTCAGTTTATAACACAAAATAATGCTAATTTTTCTTATGCGCTACTTTCAGTGTATGACAACATAATATCTTTATTTTTAGTTGCAAGACTTATATGGAAACCTAACGGGATTCATTGCAGTCGTAGTTACGTCAGTTGCGTAAGTAGAACCTTAAAACAAACTTTTAGAGAGGGTGAGTGAGAGTCAGATTGCACATCTACTTGGTATTGTAATGCATATGAGATAAAAATCACATATTCAAATATATTAATCGGTCGACGTTTATTTGGAATTCATAGCTTCTGATTAATATACTTTTTTTCCCGTTGTTTTCATGATTAAATATTTAAGGGTACATGTGTTTTCCTTTCAGACGCGGCAGTGCGGTCGTGGGACATACGGTAGCTACCGATAACAGTGGCGCGGCAAGAGCAGCTGTGGCAAATACAGCAGCAAACGTTGCCAATGGCAACACTAATGTCAATTTGTTTGGACAGCCAGTCCCTGCCAACCGGGTCACCATAGCACCAGGGGGAGGCACACGTAAGTCACTAAGTTATGTAGATGTTTTCATACCAAACTAATGAGCAAAGTATTAGCCCATGTGTGACTGTTATATGTTATCATAAATCAAGTCAACCGTACGACTCTTATCCTTACAATAACATGCAAGTTGTGTTTACACCTGTAAAACTTACATATTAATGATGGTTACTATTAGTTAAAGTGTCTGGGTTTTTTTCGAATTGCTTAAACAAGTAGTTATATACGTAATTAAGGACAGTACTTAAAAGTATACAGAATCTATAACCTGATGAAATTAGGAATACTTAGAAATGTTGATACCATCTCTACGGGAGCAAATTGAGAAATTGTGATTGGTTGTCTTATATTCAATAGTCAACCAACCAAAATGTCTCACGGCTTCAGAGATCATACAAAATATATCGTTATATCATTCACAACGACTTATTTCTTATCTACTATGTCTTCTCACTTTACAGCGACAGTTTTAGGTCCGAATACAGATAGGTGTGCAATCGTAAGGAATATCGGCAATTGTCCAGAGCAATCATATCAGTGTATCCTAATAGATGGAAATGCCCAATGTGTGTAAGTAGATGAAGTGCTTTTAATGTCATTTTACTTTATATGTGCGCCATTTATATAGAATTTAATTTCCAAAAATAAATGCCAAATTCATTGTTGAATGGTATTAAATTTCTGAGTGTACATTTAACACGTGACTGCATGAATGTTTACCTCGCATGATCAGCAAAGCAGATTTCATTGTAATATCTCCTTCCTTATTTATGGCGACAAAGTACGTCAGCATAAACAAAAGAACCCTGACATACCAAAAAAAGTCATATGTCAAATTTAAATCTGACGAAAAGGACTAGCACAGAGAAAACGGGAAACTGTGTAACCAACACTTCCCTTATTGTATACATTTTTCTCATTTGAGAACGGGGCATTTCTTACTTGGGTTGACCAAGGTTTACATGGCGAGTGTCATCGATGAGGCAGAAGAAGCTTACTCTTCCAGAACACCTTGTCTTGTTTTCTTTGTACTTTTTCATAGACCTGCCATGTAAATCTAGATCAAGCCAAGTCATTTCACGTTCATAAATATTTCGGGTTTATAACAGTAAAAGCATATGACATACTAACCGCCTATGGAAAAATATGTTAGAATCAACGCCAATAAGATCGTACTAGTAAGCATAAGATGTCGTCGTCGTGTTCAGCAGATCTCGGCTACAGAGTCTGTCTTGCAAGTTAATCGACCAGTTCTTGACATCTGAAATTCGAATATTCTTTTATTCTAATGATTTTATCCAATTTTTATTTTAACTTTTCTTGACTTAAAAATAGTTTTAATGCTTAATTCTGAGGTCTACCGTTATTCTCATAACCACCATAACTAGCGAATGAAGTTGATAGTATTAAGAACAGTATTACGAGATATACTAATACCAATCTAGATTAGAATATTGAGGTACATACCGTATAAACCTGGATACTTTGAACACATACCTGAGAATACATTGTATATACGGGTTTTGTTAACGTAATGTTTTCAATTTGAAATAAATGACGTTATTACATTTTGTTTTTGTTTTGTTTTTTTGCAGGCCAACAGATAATACAGGTAAGCATTTATTCACTAACACAATTTGACGTTTTCAACAGAGACGTCATTTTCCGCATAACCTGTGCGATAGTATAACTCTTTGCTAAAACCTACATTTTCTTGCTAGCATTGGATTTTCATAAAATCGTTGAATAACAATTTCGCAGAAGGTTCATTGTTAAAAAATTCCTTTCATTATGTTGGTCACAATGTTGGCGTGGGTCGGTATCTGTAAATCCAAGGTAATATAATGTAAATAAATTAAGAAACAGGTTTGATTTCTGACTTTATGACGTCACGACCAACGATCTGAAGTTTCAACATATGGGAATTATATCTTACATTTACCACACGCCCCATGTAGAATATAAGATTAGGCTCCATAAAGCCATGGTCATGATAAAATTAAAAAACCAAACCCGATATCCACATGTCATAGTACCTCCTGAAAAGTCGGTTATGGTGGGAGAGGGTTTAATGAGTAGAACAGCCATTGATGACAGCAAATGAAAAAAAAAATCGCGCTTGTAAAAAGTTCCCTTTTCAAGTATGATGGTTTCATCAAAAACAGAAACGTTATTATTATCCTATTTGATCTGATTAAAAATTAAAATTTTGAGTCTTATTTGATAAATCAAAAAAAAAAACAAACAAAATGTTATTATATATCCATGTGTTTGACAGAAGAAGTTCCAGTAACATTTTCATAGGCAAGTTCAAAGGTCAAGTGTTTCTATGCTAGTATGGTAACCATTTTAATCTGGTAATGTTGTACAGTAATAAAACTTTGCGAGTGTAAATATGTTTTATGGGCGAAATAGATTAATTATATCATCTTTTTACCTTATTTGAAAGTATCATAACGTCAGTGTCGTTTATTCATAAAAAAAAAAATGGGATATGTTAATTTTTTTTTTTATCTGTAACCCACACCTTCCTACTGAGAATGATATATTACTGTTGCACTTTTTTACAGGAGGCTTCAATTTGATTGTGGGTCTTGGTGTTGGAATACCGCTGTGTTTCCTTGCTATTGTGGTGATTGTGATCATGTGTATCTACTGTAGGAGGCAAAAGGAGAAACAAGAGCTTGAACTTGACAGGTATGATCAATAAAATTTGTAGGAATATTCAGAAATTGTATTCTGCAGTTAATTAGTTTATTATCATGTTAAATTGTGTATTTATTGACCAAACAAATCTTACCCACAAGTCAATGTTACTTTATTACTTTTTAACTTTAAAATTCTACAACAGAACACGAGAAGAAGCAGGTTTTATGGGAAGTGGCGTGATTCCTAAGTTCGGAAGCTGGGGCCGTCCAGCCTATTACTCACCAGCGGGATGGGGCGACGGAGAATCTGTGGAATCATCGGACACCGATGATAGCAGAAGGAGACGTCGACGTGGTGAACAGTTCGATACAAATGGCAAAGACTATTACAGTAAGTCCCTAGTGTATCACAATATTTTCTCAATCACAATATTTTCTCAATAAGACGCAGAAGAATATAACATTTAGCTCATTTATATTAACTAGTACATGCATTAACAGTTCAATGTACAATCTGTACATTATATAACTAGCAAAATCTATGTTAAACTACCGAAGAAATCTGTCCTAAACTATACCTCACATACTCGGATTTTATCATTTCATACTGAGTTAACCAGCATTGATAGCTATTTTGTTTTGCCTTGAAACCATCCAAATTGATATCATTTAATTACATTTGTATGTTTATTTCAGTGTACGATAATGGCGCTATGTCAAACTTCTCGTGGGATTTCATGTACAATTACGTCGACCCTAAAGAACAGGTAAAGAAAAGTCGCATAACAAAATGTCAGTGTCATGGAATTATCAATGATGTAATACATCGTCTGTGTCATTAGACATGTGAGCCTTGTCCCCTCATAGATTGTCTGTGTCATCAGACATGTGAGCCTTGTCCCCTCATAGATTGTCTGTGTCATCAGACATGTGAGCCTTGTCCCCTCATAGATTGTCTGTGTCATCAGACATGTGAGCCTTGACCCCCCTATAGATTGTCTGTGTCATCAGACATGTGAGCCTTGACCCCTCTATAGATTGTCTGTGTCATCAGACATGTGAGCCTTGTCCCCTCATAGATTGTTTGTGTCATCAGACATGTGAATCTGGTCCCCTATATATATTGTCTGTGTCATCAGACATATGAGCCTTGTCTCCTCTATAGATTGTCTGTGTCATTAGACATATGAGCCTTGTCCCCTCTATAGATTGTCTGTGCCATCAGACGTGTGAGCCTTGTCCCCTCTATAGATCGTCTGTGTCATCAGACATGTGAGCCTTGTCCCCTATATATATCGTCTGTGTCATCAGACATTTGAGTCTTGTCCCCTCTATAGATTGTCTGTCCCATCAAACGTTTAAGACTTGTCCCCTCTGTAGATTGTCTGTGTTATCAGACATGTGAGCTTTATTATCTCTATAGATTGTCTGTGTTATCAGACATGTGAGCCTTGTCCCCTCTATAGATCGTCTGTGTCATCAGACATGTGAGCCTTGTCCCCTCTATAGATTGTCTGTGCCATCAGACGTGTGAGCCTTGTCCCCTCTATAGATTGTCTGTGCCATCAGACATGCGAGCCTTGTCTCCTCTATAGATTGTCTGTGTCTTCAGACATGTGAGCCTTGTCCCCTCTGTAGATTGTCTGTGTCGTCAGACATGTGAGTCTTGTCCCCTCATAGATTGTCTGTGTCGTCAGACATGTGAGTCTTGTCCCCGCTATAGATTGTCTGTGCCATCAGACGTGTGAGCCTTGTCCACTCTATAGATTGTCTGTGCCATCAGACGTTTGAGTCTTGTTCCCGCTATAGATTGTCTGTGCCATCAGACATGTGAGCCTTGTCCCCTCTGTAGATTGCCTGTGTCATCAGACATATGAGCCTTGTCCCCTCTATAGATTGTCTGTGCCATCAGACGTGTGAGCCTTGTCCCCTCTGTAGATTGTCTGTGTCATCAGACGTGTGAGCCTTGTCCCCTTTATAGATTGTCTGTGTCATCAGACATATGAGCCTTGTCCCCTCTGTAGATTGCCTGTGTCATCAGACATATGAGCCTTGTCCCCTCTATAGATTGTCTGTGTCATCAGACATGTGAGCCTTGTCTCCTCTATAGATTGTCTGTGTCATCAGACATGTGAGCCTTGTCCCCTCTGTACATTGTATGTGTCATCAGACATGTGAGCCTTGTCCCCTCTGTAGATCGTCTGTGTCATCAGACATGTGAGTCTGGTCCCCTCTATAGATTATCTGTGTCATCAGACATGTAAGCCTTGTCCCCTCTATAGATCGTTTTTGCCATCAGACATGTGAGCCTTGTCCCCTCTATAGATCGTTTTTGCCATCAGACATGTGAGCCTTGTCCCCTCTATAGATCGTCTTTGTCATCAGACATGTGAGCCTTGACCCCTCTAGAGATTGTCTGTGTCATCAGACGTTTGAATCTTGTCTCCTCTATAGATTGTCTGAACATCATACGTGTGAGCCTTGTCCCCTCTATAGATTGTCTGTGTCATCAGACATGTGAGCCTTGTCCCCTATATATATTGTCTGTGTCATCAGACATGTGAGCCTTGTCCCCTCTGTACATTGTCTGTGTCATCAAACGTGTGAGCCTTGACCCCTCTAGAGATTGTCTGTGTCATCAGACGTTTGAATCTTGTCTCCTCTATAGATTGTCTGAACATCATACGTGTGAGCCTTGTCCCCTCTATAGATTGTCTGTGTCATCAGACATGTGAGTCTGGTCCCCTATATATATTGTCTGTGTCATCAGACATATGAGCCTTGTCTCCTCTATAGATTGTCTGTGTCATCAGACATGTGAGCCTTGTCCCTTCTATAGATTGTCTGTGCCATCAGACGTGTGAGCCTTGTCCCCTCTATAGATCGTCTGTGTCATCAGACACGTGAGCCTTGTCCCCTATATATATCGTCTGTGTCATCAGACATTTGAGTCTTGTCCCCTCTATAGATTGTCTGTCCCATCAAACGTTTAAGACTTGTCCCCTCTGTAGATTGTCTGTGTCATCAGACATGTGAGCCTTGTTCCCCCTGTAGATTGCCTGTGTCATCAGACATGTGAGCTTTATTATCTCTATAGATTGTCTGTGTTATCAGACATGTGAGCCTTGTCTCCTCTATAGATTGTCTGTGCCATCAGACATGCGAGCCTTGTCTCCTCTATAGATTGTCTGTGTCTTCAGACATGCGAGCCTTGTCTCCTCTATAGATTGTCTGTGTCATCAGACATGTGAGCCTTGTCCCCTCTATAGATCGTCTGTGTCATCAGACATGTGAGCCTTGCCCCCTCTATAGATTGTCTGTGCCATCAGACGTGTGAGCCTTGTCCCCTCTATAGATTGTCTGTGCCATCAGACATGCGAGCCTTGTCTCCTCTATAGATTGTCTGTGTCTTCAGACATGTGAGCCTTGTCCCCTCTGTAGATTGTCTGTGTCGTCAGACATGTGAGCCTTGTCCCCTCATAGATTGCCTGTGTCGTCAGACATGTGAGTCTTGTCCCCTCTATAGATCGTTTTTGCCATCAGACATGTGAGCCTTGTCCCCTCTATAGATCGTCTTTGTCATCAGACATGTGAGCCTTGACCCCTCTAGAGATTGTCTGTGTCATCAGACGTTTGAATCTTGTCTCCTCTATAGATTGTCTGAACATCATACGTGTGAGCCTTGTCCCCTCTATAGATTGTCTGTGTCATCAGACATGTGAGCCTTGTCCCCTATATATATTGTCTGTGTCATCAGACATGTGAGCCTTGTCCCCTCTGTACATTGTCTGTGTCATCAGACGTGTGAGCCTTGTCCCCGCTATAGATTGTCCGTACTATCAGACGTGTGAGCCTTGTCTCCTCTATAGATTGTCTGTGCCATCATACGTGTGAGCCTTGTCCCCCCTATAGATTGCGTCATCAGCAATTCCATTATACCTATTTCAATGTCTTTCAATTTACTAAAAGCAGCATTCTCGTGTTTAATCCATCATATTGAAATATCTAACAATGTATACATCGGAGGATTTTACTTCAAGTTCTCATGATGTCGAGTCAGAATTTTTGTTGCAATAGATTAACTATATATGATATTAAACTGATAACTTTCCATTACAGTACAAGATCAAAAGGCCAACCACAACGCCAAGGGCTAATCCAGTCTTTGATGTAAGTGTTTGTTTTTTTGTTGTTTTTTTTTTTTTTTTTTACATCGGTGGGTATTATTATTATTATTCTGTGCTGTATGAATGTATTCATACTTAGGCAAAATTAGATAGAATCTACATAATATTTCAAAGTTATTCAGCATGGTTTTTCTACGTATGGTCAAACTATGAGCCATCACTCGAACACTGCTCTTACCGTATCACAGTGTCAGTAACATGCCATACACTATTTTATCAGAAGTACAGTCACGTATATAGTCAAAACGATATTTTAAAAGTTAATATTTATTGTTCCTTTATACAATTTTTTGTTCCTTTATACAATTTTTTGTACCTTTATACAATTTTATTGTACCTTTATACAATTTTATTGTACCTTTATACAATTTTATAGTTCCATGATACAATTTTTTGTTCCTTTATACAATTTTATTGTACCTTTATACAATTTTATTGTTCCATTATACAATTTTTTGTTCCTTTATACAATTTTTACTGTTTCTTTATACAATTTCATTGTTCCTTTATACAGTTATGGTGTACTTTTATACAATTACAGTGTACCTATATTCATTTTTATAAAATAGTGGCATTGATCTGAAATTTTGCAGCTATTAGATCGAAACTGAATCATTCGCTTCCTTTTTGCATCTTTTCATAGTTTTTGACTTATTTTTCAGAACAAATAATGGGAAGAAAAGAGACACCGACGACATCACTAATCCAACAGGTGGCGTAGAATATTGTTTACGGCAAAAAATCAAACTTCTACCCTTCCTCCGGATTATTTGATCAGTGAGACATCGAGACGTTTCTTTGTTGAACATGGAAGTAAAGAGGGAACACTCTGCAGTACATTACGTAGATAGTGCATATTATCTTAAATAGTGTTGTTTGTAATGCTGCACGGACTAATGGCTGTGTGATCATCAACCAATAAATTTTGGTTAAAACCATTACAAGTGTATAGAAAGATAACTCTTTAACGGTGAGAAATTTTCGGCGCTCAATTTTAATGTTCAATCAAAGGAACCTTTTTATATCATCATTTCAAATTAAAAATACAATTTATAAATGAGAAAGAAAAATCAATTCAATATGACCAAGGCATGATTTCCTCTATCGGTAAGTGCCAATATGAGTTGTGCAATAAGCTTAGTTTTAACAAATCATATCACAAATCAAATCATGAAAATTATAAATGATCAAAATCGCTAACATTAAAGGGTAGCACGTGATGATATCACTCTCTATATCACCGACAATCATCATTTTTTTTAAATGTAGAGACCGCTGTGCTTGGTCAGATATTTTTTTCTGTATCATTAGATGTTACAGATTAAAGAGTGCTTCCTGCCTGAATTTTTCGACACTTTGAGCTGGAAATCAAAACGTTAGCGTGAATATGGTCAAGCATTATTACTTATAAAAGTATATAACGCACTTAAATTAGATAATTATAAATCAGAGTTCACAGCGTTTCCTATTGGTTGTGCAAACTGCATAATATTTAGAGATGTTCTCGTTTTTTTTTTGTTTTTTTTTATCATTATTATTATTTTTTTTATATTTAAATGAGTGACTGAAAGATATTGTTGATTGAAATACAAATTGAAAGGTTTTAATTTGAATTATGAGTGTAGTTGAGTGTGGTGTATATAACTAATATACAAGTATATATCAAACGTTTATCTATTACAGTGGTTACCTTATATTGTGCTTATATATAATGTCATGATCATCTTATAAAATTGTTATGACCATAAATCTCATTTTACATCTCAAATATTTTTACTACGAGTTGTTCATCTCTCGGCTTTTTAATGTATCACTCATTCCGTGACTTCGTCGCACTATTGGACAATACCAGTTATGTTGAATGATGTGACTGTCTTTGTTTCTTGTTTTCGGTATTTAGAACAAAATCAAAGTAAAATGTGGAAATTTTTGGAAAATTCATTTTTTTTTTTTTTTATTATTTTTTGCTTCCTTGCCATTAAAGTTGTAATTCTCTAGTTCATATCTTTAATTCTTATGTACATTGGTGACGGAACTAATGGATTTATTTTTTAATATTTACAACTTGTTATTATAACTATTCCTCCGTTATTCGTGAAATTAGACATTTGTAGTTTTGTTATCAATTACTATGTAATGGGTTTCCCGTGGGTATACGGTCTTTACGGAATAGACTTTTGATAACAGATTAAACAATCAAAATACTTCTATAATATACATGTATATATATATACCCTCAGTGTATATACTTAAGATACACGAATGGTTTTGTCATTACTTCATTGTATAAAAATGTCTTCCCTTCTTCAGATAACACGGTCATGTAAGTCACACTGACGCGAGTTACTGAAGGTTGTTGTTACCATACATATTGGTTAAAAATGATGAATTGTGTACTCATTTTAATCAATCACTTATGATTGAAGAAATGAAAGTTCCTCAGAGAGGAATATCAAAATCTGACTGTAGTTAAGTTGTGTATTAACGACTACTCCGTGAACTATTTTCACTTGATCCTAAATGTACGTATCGCCTTGTAAGAAATCTGTCATTTGATTAAATGCTGGGTTCAAATAATATTATCTAATCGGTTTATATGTCGCAATATTGTATCAATTAATAGGAATGTGTTTGTGATATATTCAATATTCTGTGTTAACATGTATTATATCCTAGTTTCATATTTCAGCATTTGGCACTCTCGGAAATCTAGAAAATTATCCTAAACGTTGACTAAAGCAAATGTATTTTTCCATACACAAATAAATATACATATATATTGATTCAATGAAAATTTTGATACTCCGAAGAATTTCTTTTCAGAGGAACTATTTGAATTGTATTACTGTTTATATGATCTGATGAGATCAATTTCGACTTGTTTGTCAAAATGAGAGGAGTTGTTTCCCTTGAAAAGTAACAAATGTGCATTCTGGGGACTTTTTATACAAATATTCACGAAATATAGCAATTATTGACATTTGTTATGTTTGTACAGAGGTTTTAATGGTGTTATACAATGTTGACAGGTAAACAGAAAGTTTACCTAAAGGGTTTTTACATAATCAAAGTAGATCTATATATATATTTATCTATGTACATGTAAGATGTGTCCTGGACTCAGGTGAAATGTTCCGGTTAAATTCGTCTGATGTCATGGTGTGTCGTCTTCCGTTTTCTTACGTCCAGACTCTGTAACTACCATTCAAACGTCCGGTATGTGAAAACTCATCAGTGATATAATGAATTATGTAAGCGTTTAATTTGTTTAATGCCGAAATTCAATTTGCTGAATACATTGCGGGATGTACCATTTTTTGCTAGATCTCTCAAAACAGTTTACTTAATTACCCAGACTTAATATTTGTTAATTTTAGAAAACATTTTAACTGAACTGGTGAGCGAAATTGGTCTATTGGTTCTATCTTATTATTATCGACATACAAGGATTATATCATGTTATATGCAAAAAATAATAAATTGTTTATATTTCTAATATTGCTATTGCTTATCATTTTATCCTTAATCTAAGTTTTGCCATTAAAAAACAAAGAAATGTTTTCTTGATCAACAACAATATAACGATGTTTATATCTACACTCAACATAATCGGTCTGTACAGGATCTTTCCCAGAAAAAAATGTGAGCAGACTGGTGGGTAACAAACCAGAGACCTGTCTCGGCTGGCCTCAGACCCGATACATTCTGAAATCTATTCAAATAAAGAAAAAAGTCTATCATGCACAAATAAACTATAAACTTAAAACTGAACAAGCGGATTGAAATATTGAAGAAAGGACATTTTAAATAAAAATATAGACAATGTAACAGTTTCCACACTGTTTCTCTGATGTCCCTGACGACGATACTATCTTCCGGTCAATGCACCTTCGTGTTTTTGACCCTGTATTCCAAGACATAAGATATTCCTACAGAACTGACACCCTCGTTTCTCTGACCCAGCATTCCCAGACACGTGTATCCCTATGGAATGACACTTCCGTTTCCTTAACCCTTTTTTCGGGACATGTATATTTTTGAAGATTGACAACTTTGTGTTTTGACCCTGTAGTCTGGAACTTATACACGAATTCTCAAGGGATAAAGAAACGCAGGGTAAAATTTGAAGATGACTCCAGGCAAGACGTCGAGTATAATGTTAAATATTTTTAAGTAAGAATGAAGATTAATCCATACAGAACAAACTACAAAATCAACGATTTGTATCTGGTAAGTGAGTTTAGAGTTATTGAAGGGAATTGAATCAGAACTCTTTAATCTGAAATCGAAATGGACTAATTGTGGGAGCTGGCTAGTCAATTCCGGGTATGTTCTTCATTCGCTCTCTCCTCAGGCTTGATTTCCCAGGCATAGAGTTAATATGTGAGTTTATCTTCCGCATTGGGGAGTTGGCCCATTCTTCTAAGAGGTTGGGACAGAGTAACAGGAGGAGGATGGCGTTGTCGAACTTGTCAATCCAGTTGATCCCACAACTGCTCAATAAGGAATAGGTCGGGCAGTCAAGTGGGTAGATATTGTTGTAAGTGAGAAAGTCGTGAAAGATCCTCGCTACATAGGGCCGAGCATTATTCTGCTGGAATGGGAGGTTGTTTTGCTGCAATAACGGGACAACATGGGGTCGGAGGATCTCATATATTACCGACAGTTAATTTACCCGCTACCACAACAAGTGGGTGATTTAACTCCATGTGAGATTCCTTCCCACACCATTACCGATCCACCCCAAACCTATCCGTCTCTACTACGCAGCAGTCGGCAAAATGTTCTCTATGACGTCGGTATACACGACGTCGAACATCGGCTCGAAACAGGGTGAACCGGAACCCTTCAGTAAACAAGACCCGCCTCCACTGCCTCAATAGGAATACTCTGTGGGCATGTGCCTCTACCAAAGCCATACGACGCTGGCGACGAGCAGCGGTAACGGGCATACCTACAAACGGATGACGTGTCCGCAACTTCCCGCAATCGTTTCCTTACAGTTCTTGCATGGATAGGACGATTATAGGTACTTATGGTATGAAGGGCAGATTCAGTGGAGGCAAAATGCCGATCGCACAAATGCGCGAGATGAATAAACCCGTCCTGACGTTGCGACGTCATGCGCGGACGCCAAGACCTAGGTCTGTCAGCAACCCGCCCAGTTTCCCTTAGACGTCTACCAAGACGTTCTACAGTGCATATATGGACACCGAAATGTCTGGCAACTTGTATTTTCCTTTGACCTTGCAAACTCATCGCAATGACCCGATCCTTCTAAACTTCTGTCAGCCATGCCATTGTTTAATGCTATCAGAAATGATTCAAAATATCGGAAAATGATGTGTCTCAATGAAGACTATCAAGTGGTATGACGAGCAGTGTAACTCAGTGTCACAACACTGCTGTGCACGAGATTTTCCCTTTTCATGCTTTCCCGGAAAACATCGGCAAGCAATACAATAATGCCACATTAGATACAGGAACATGTGCACTGTAACATAGAGAGTTGCTTGACCGATTTTTATTGTTTTTGAACAACACGTTCGAAAGATATTCCAAATAGTATATATTGGTATATATTGACATCTCCGTTACCTTGACTCTATTTCCGTACATGTTTATAACTATAGATTGACAACTCGGTGTCTTTGACCTTGTATTACAGGACATGTATATTCCTATAGACTGCTACCTCCGTGTGTTTTACCCTGTATTACAGGACATGTATATTCCTATAGACTGCCACCTCCGTGTGTTTGACCCTGTATTACAGGACATGTATATTCCTATAGACT